TACGTCCAGTTCCCAAATTCTACCTAAGACCTCGGTTAATCTCATTGCTAATACTGGACCACCATCCTTAAAAATCTCAGGAGTAAACCTGTCAGGGCCTGCTGCTCTCCCTCGCTTCAGATTTTTTATGGCTTTTTCAACTTCGTAAATGGACGGAGAACCTACATTAATTTGCCATTCAGGTTGACTAGAGATCGTGGGAAACCGAAGTGTGGATGAAGGCCAGTTGAACTGACCCCTAAAGTGTTCTGCCCATCGATCCAATCTCCTGGATTGAGAATGAATAATATGTCCATCTTTCTCTGAGATTGTTTCGCTAACGGTCGGGTTCCTAATACAGGTTTCCTTAACGAGTCTGAACAATTGTCTGCTATTACCCATTGCCGCTGCCTTTTCCATCTCTCTTGCTTTCGCTACCCACCACTGTTCACGATCATTGCGTAGACTTTTTGTCATTATGTTCAGAGCCAGGTGGAATGAGTTTCCGAGCATCTATCAGTGCGATAGATGCTGCTGAGATCCAGTGTTGCTCCCTAATCTTGTGGTTTACCTTGCTAGCAGATATCACTGCTGTTTCCACAGCTTTTCGGATATCATTCCATGCTGCCTCAGGGTGGGCATCACATACATGGCTGTCTAACTGTTTGCCTAGTTGTTCCTGAAATATACTCTTAGCTTGACTATCATTAAGTAGGCCCCTAAAAGGTTTCCTTGCAGCGTCTTTCCTACGTCCAGTAAGACGCAAGCAAATACGCGCTCGCACTAGAGCATGATCTGAATCTAGGCATGTGCTCCAGAATGAGCGACAGTCTTCTATCGAGCCCCTCCATCGGTGGCTGATAGCGATGTGATCTATTTAGGTCCAACGTTGGGACGAATTAGGGGGTCGCCATGTTAAAAGATGTTTTTCCTTATGCTTAAAGTTAGTATTTGCAAGGAACAGGCGGTTATCTGAGCATAGCTGCAACAGCCGGTCGCCATTATCTGTTCTTTGAGCCACGACACCATAAGATCCACCTAGGTGTCTTTCCCTATCGCTTAGTTTACCTACTTGAGCATTAAAGTCACCGGCCACTATTACTACATCAGAGCGCCTAGCTTTTCGGAGAAGGTCCGAAAGCTTTCTGTAAAACTCATCTTTTACATCATCTGAGCTGCAGTCAGTGGGAGAATAGGCAGAGACGACGAAGAGGCGAAGACAAGTGTCCCTATCTTTTCGGATCCTCATTGTTCCATTCAGTCGGACAGCGCACAGACGACTGCCTACTGGGATCCACTCTAAGAGAGCTAGTTCTGCCCTAGGACTCAATGCTATACCTACGCCGGCGAGGCCACGGGAAGCAGAATCAGGGCTTCCAGATACACGAAGCGTAAATCGAGTCGGTTCTTTATTTTGGCATGGTGAGGTCAAATGAATGACGCTACTTGGATCCTGTATGCGCGTTTCCGAGACGCAGCACACATCGATGGCGCGAGATTCTAAAGTTTTAGCTAAGGAAGCCTGCTGTCCTATTTGGCAAAGTGTTCGTACGTATAAAGCTCCTACGTGTAGTTTAGAGCGTGGTTTCAGGAGACCAGGAATTGCGTTCCACGTACTCGAATCGTTTGCCCTAGCGGTGCGAGGTGATAAAGAGACGTGAGGAGGGTTAGTCGGGGAGATAAGAGAGGTATTAGGAGGTGTAGGAAGGATTTGAATGTGACCACCTTGGTCTCTTGTGCTGTTACGGGTATGAGGGCTGATGTCACTTCCCGGCTGCCCACACCGTGGAAGGGTATTTCTTGAGGAACCTGAAAAGGAAATTGGATTAGTGTTGGTCTTGACGACCTGGGAGCGTGACCGCAGAGCCCAAGGGACAACTGCTTGAGGCCGGTCGCGCACGGCCTTTTTGTGGAAGGTTTTTGACGTGTTAGCTCCGTTCTTCAAGGGGCCTTACCGCCGGAGACGGAAATCCGTGAGGTAAGGTGAGGTGTGACATTTTTAGGGTCAACCTTTTCTAACCCCACCCCTCCTTGTGGGAAGGCAGCATCGCTGTCATGCTGGTTGTCCGAAGGAAACACCTTACTGCCGTCACACCTCTCTACAGTCAGCAGTACGACTTCGCCCTCAGACCTTGAGTTGCTGTTTTTAGTCTTACCGTCCACCAATCGACCTGCCTGGCATGGTAGAACCTACAGGAACATATGTTCCAGCCAATATAGCTCGGTTGGGTCATCACGATAGGCAAGCCCGACCACCGCGTCAAGGTAGCAGCTTCGGTCGGGGTCAGTCTAATTAGTTTTCTTGTCTAAGTTCCTTCCTAGTGGCCCATCTATTCCTGTTGTAAGCAGAACATCTAGAAAGGCTATTTTACGTCTATTTTTTCCTCACATGTGAATTTTGAAGACGGATGAACTTCATTAAATCGCTCGAGTTTTTCTATCAAGTTAGTATGGTCGTTATAAAAGATGAACGTTTTGTCTATATATCGGCAGTAAAATGAAAACTTGCCAATCTGTTGTGCCAGTGGACCGTTTTCTATTTTATTAATCTTACATTACATGGTATGAATTTTGATAGTATAATAAAAAGACCGAGTTGATCTAAAAATTGACTTATCCTATACATTTCGAGTAATCTGATCGTACATAAACTATTCAAAGCAATTTTACATGAATCCGAATGTTGTGTTAAGGTTAACAGCTGTCATCATCAGCTGTATTTATACTTCATAAACCCATTCATGAATGATAGAAATATAAAAATACTTTGTGCGTTGAAAATATCGCTAAACTACAAACTTACGATACGTCATTCAAGATGTGGATCAAAATCATTTAACTTCTATCACACTATAAAACATACACTTCAATAATATATACTGAGTATCAGCAAGATTTATCAGATATTAGGAATTTGTTATTACTTATGGAAATTTTCTAACAATTTGTAACGAAAATTATTAGACTTCTGTACTGACTGTGCAATCTTTGAAAGGTGGGGTTGAAAATGACCAAATGATTTTCTTTTTCTTACACGCAAAATTGTGTAGTTATATATCGTTTTATATTAGCCACTGTCCGATGCTTCTATCTCGTTTCTAACTACTAAGAATAATTCGCCAGACATAAATTGGCAGCTCCTAAGATTAACATTGTTCGATACAGCACACTTCGAGACGATAGATTTAATTTTTATGATGCTTAAATGAATATTCGTCATAACATTTGTATTATCGGGTTCCGACAAACAGCCTGCGTAGAACTTGCTTATTATAACTATATTCCTCATGAGTAACTAATTTAAATCATATGATCCCCTTCCTTTAATTTTATTGGTTAGACGTAAAAGAGCTGTTCTCCTATCAACCGATACATTTCTATCAGTTTGGCCACTATTATGACTGTCTGAGTTGAGAATAACTTGTTTTTGAATTTATCACCTTGATCGTGGTTTTTAATTTAAACTAACTATTATCCATTGTAAAGCCACTTAATATCTATTTATTTACATCCACATATTTCGCGAACCCAATATGATCTTTTGTATTCATTTGATTCAATATGCGTTATTCAGGCGAATTTTAAAGTTTGAAGGTAACATACGATAAAACCTGAATGTCCAGTATATGCTCCAATATGACATCATAGGGTATACAAATCGAATGAGTCAAAAATTGATACCAATTAGTTAAATTCCTTCTTGGCTATTATATTATATAGTTGAATGTTGTCCTGGTTGTCGATCCGATTATCACCAATCAGGTAGTATTGTATGGTCATTTTATGTAATCCGATGACTTTAATCTAATCATCAGAGTGAATAAACTGAAGATTGCATGTTATTATGAGAGATCGAGTCGTCCCAATGTAATTGTAAAATAAACAGAAAATAACGAGCACACACCAACTGGTGGGGTCCGCATGATAAACACGGCTACCGTTTGGAAACGTTAAATGATATCGCTTGAAATTGATCACAACGGCCCAAATGCATTCACTATCGATTTTGAGTTCCGGTATTTCTATATATACCTTATCATTCCGTTATTAAAAAACCATATGCTCGATATTTAGTATTCCTAACCAAGTGATATTACTACAACTTCCATTCCTTTGCTACTTATCACGTTGATTTTGTCTTATCGTGCTGATATGGCATAGAAACTTCGACTAACTCGCGTTTGTGCCAGGCTGTGAGTTGAATAGAACTAGCTGGGGTCCATTAATAATGAAGTGACCATGAACTACAAAAATGCATCTGTCAGAGTAGGTTTAAATGCGTATATCTATTAAATGTTAGAACTTCATTTAATACATGGAAGAACATTTGCGCTATAGGGGGTACAAGTCGGTCAAGAGAATTTTTGGTACATGCCCGATTATATAGGATATGTGGTCAACGTGTTTGACTACAATATTCCTGAATCTGATTTGAGGCTGACGTACATAAGTCCTGAGACGAAAATTTTCACTTAGAGGAAGAGAAATTATCCCAAATATCCTTGCACTATGGTAATTAGGTTTTTTCCAATGGCTCCGCTACATTACGTATTTTTTTACGGTAAGCATTAAAGACTGTGTAGAAACATCCATTATTTTTGTATTATATATATCTAACAAGAGTCCATTCACTGAACTTTATAGATGTCTCAGTGACTATAACGATTATTAAACACCACTGTTATAAGTCCCAGATGAAACGAAATGAATCACCGAATTTTATCTTTGCTAATATCTAAATCTTTTACATAATAAAAGTGTCAAATCCACCTAAGTGTAAGTGTACTAGTTAATCCGATACATTGAAGAAAAAATAGGAAAAATACAAAAGAAAACACGGAATAAATAGACGATTCGATTGATTAGATAGCAAAAAAACCAACAGCGTTAAACGTTAAAAATACCACTAATGATCTGTACAATGAAGGGAAACACTCACATTGTTTTCAAAGCATATAACATGTACAAAATTAAACGTATACAAAGTACACATACACCAACATATATATAGAGACAAACAATCAATGAACAATACGAGAATTAACTGCGAATGACACCTTGTGCACCCCACCAATCGGAGGGGAGTTTACAAATGGTGATTTATGTACAGATGGATTGATATTAGTTATTGGATTATCTTCCATAACTTTTAAATTGTTTGTCATTTCAGTGATAAGTCGTTGCATTTCACGAATACCATTATGGCGTTGAGTTAAATACTGAGGATAAAAATAATACAAACAGAAAGGTTATTATAATCATCCACTAATGAAAAAAGCAACAAAATAATTACTGGTTATATGACTAAGATTGGTAACTGAATTTTAAAGAAATAAAATAACAAATGATTCAGCATAGCGGGCACTATGTTTTGATGATGTGTATGTATGTATCCCAGTTTCTGGATTACGGTTTCTCATTAGCAAGAGGTGTCTGTAACCCCCATGGAATTGATGATCCCCGCTGTTAGATTGAGAGGCTCTAGCACTGATTTATCCTGAATTAGACTTTCATATAATTGCTTCTGATTACATAATAACGTGAAAATGTTAGTCACTGTTTATTTTATTTATTTAAACACATAAACACAGGTACAAGAAGGCACCAAATAGATATACACCACATAGATCATTAGATTTGTGTGAGGGCTAGGATGCTACCCGTGTGCCCAAACCGAAGCAGGTGATTTTCTTAGGGGGCCATACCAAGAACCATTGACATAAAGGTATAATCCAAAATGCAGTGGAGCAACATTAGGAGATGCAGTCCCATGGTAGTCGGTGACCAACGATTGGTTCATACGTCATTTGTTCCCTTAGAATCCTGGAGCCCATGCAAACCATTAGTTTGGAATCAGGGTTTTTCAACTCCCCTGTGTGGATCCTCCATATCCACCAACTCGGTTAAAGCACCGGACATTCGCTTTTCGTCCTCTCAATTTCGTAAACAATAGTAATGCAGCGAGAAGGCAGTGAGTAGGACTTCTCTGGAAGTGAATGTATGCACGTGGCCACTTGAGAGCATTTCGAGAGGGAGAGCTGGCGCTCCCCACTCTCGGCCGTATCAGGGCATATGGGGGCAGTCACTATGTTATAGGACTGAGAACCATCAATATGTCCCACAATCAACATCTATGATCAAAATATTTTCCTCTAAGATGCTTCTGTTTCTTAGATTCAACTTTAAGTGAAAAGACTCATTGAAACATACCAACATTTCATTAAAAATTACTTGAGCCTGGGCAGTATATACAAAACAGTAATTCAAAACACAACGTCAGTACATTACACCTAAGTGAAATGAAAAACTGAGTGCCTCCAGATTGTACCCAAGTCAGTAATCGTTTACAGCTCTATAAACTGTATTATGCTGCGTGAAGATTAAAATCATTAGCCGAGTCGATGGGGTAGAGAACAAACTAATGACTGAATAGTACGAAAATGAAGTATTAAAATCAAAAGTACAGCTTTACATAGGAATTTCTTAAAATAATCGATAGAGACATTACAGGTAGGCACGAAATAGAACTACTAGGTTTCTTAAGTTAAAAAAGAAATCACAATCTATATTAAATTTCAAAAAGACACCTAGAGTCTAGTGTAGAAAATGTGTCTGTAAAATGTTTACCAAATAATTTAGGCTACTTATGAGTAGAATGGGTAGAAACACTAAAATTACTCGCAGATCAAAGCTATACTTTTTACACTAAACATACCTAGCCGCTTTGATAGATGTTAACAAGCACGAAAACACCTTAATACAGAGTCCTATCCTAATTACTGAAAATACATAATTTTAAATAATTATAGAAAAACAGATAAACTGAATATAAAGTGCATACTTAAAAACTTGAATAAACACTTAACTAATAAAGTATAAACACAATTTACCTCTTTCAGTTCATTTAACGAATCCGGATCTAAACTCCATGTTGACGGATAACCATCTCCAGATTCCAATGAATGAACACCTTTATAAACCGATCCAACATTTTCTTTATCTCTTTTGTTAAACTCAGAAGAATTACGAAGTGTAGATAATGCTTCTTGAAAACGAATACGTAAACCTCTTGGAGCGACAAGTTCTGACCAAATTCTTTCAAGCTCACAACGCATTCCCTCTTCTTCGACACTTATAGCAAATCCACATCGTCTATGCACTTCTTGGTGCTTGAGAACCTTAGAATTAAAAATGTGTTTTGGAAACAGATAAATATTAGAGACTATACAATTTAAATTTTATTTCAATTTGCTATTTAGAAAGAAAAATAGAGAGTATTTGGAAGATAAGTTGTGTTAGATATCTAGATGTGGACAACAGGAAATCTTGAACTTAATTTTTCTTTTAGCTGTTCATTATCAGAAAAAAGTACTTGGGGACTTTAGCGAACTGATACTCCCTGTGTGGTTCGAAATTACACAGCTTAGCTCCATAACCTGACATATTACCATAGGAGTTATATGAGTCATGACTGATCAACAGTAGGATTAAAATATTTACAAGTGATTGGTCTTTGAATGGTAACCAATATCATATTTATCAAGTCTTTTAGTCATTTGGACTAGTGACCACATTACCACTTGATAGATAGAATTTCATCACCACTAAACAGACAGGACATTGGTTACTACTCAATGACCAATTAATAGTTTAGTAGTATTTGCCGACTGGATACACTTTGGATTCGTTAGTAAACGGATCGCCAGTCTATTTATTGGTTATGGTAGTTATTTATTACAACGACATTAACAAATTGTGCATTGATGATAAGTCACCGATAAATTAATGAGTTGTAAACAGTTGAAATTTACTCAACTATTGATAAATTTCCAATGTATAATGAAACAAAAAAGTAGTTTTCGATCTGTTTTCGGTGACAAACAAATCTATAACAGCCAGTCATTCTTCGCAATTACATCGACTTGTATATATGATTTTTGAACAGTAAATGACTCTGCAGCATTCATTGCGTAATCTCCCCTAATGGTGTTGTATAAATTATCGTGAGCAATCTAATTCTCTGTTCACAACCCATAACAATTAACCGCCCATAAAAAAAACTTCCTTTGATCAAATATTACATAGTTACTTTAAAGTTTATAGACTGAATTTTATTTATTTTGTTTATAATTAAGTCAAATGTACTGGCCTGTTGATCATTCTAAGTGAGATATCTGAAGTAACTTATGTTGAAAAGACATTTTTATACCTTTGAACGAATAGCGATTCACTAATCGAGACTATTGCATAAATTAGATATTTGGTTTCATAATAGAGCAGGCTTTGAATTTATTATTGAGGAGAGAGATCGACAACAGATTTCTATTGACTACAGTGGTTAGGGTGTGCATGATGTATAAACTAGTCATTTCTTACAGATATATACTATGCTGATTGAAGTGAAAATAATAATGATGAAAATAGCTGGACGAATGTCAGTATAAAATGTCACATCAGACGTTTGACATTTGGTCAGTATTGTATAGAGAAGTAAATACTTTCTGGTCAAATGTTTTTTAAGTAACTGAAACTATTGACTGAAAATTTAAAGTAACATGGTCTTACATTAGTTGTAATAATACATATTTATTCATTAATTTTAGTGTTTGTTTCTGTTTTAACTAACTTCTTCTTTTCAATTTCCCTGTGGTTAATTACTTTTGATAATATCAATATGTTAAGCGCGGTTATTTGCACTGAGAAAATGTGCGCCAGACTCGCTGTCAGTCTACAGTACCCAAAATAATGATTTCTTGTCCTGAACATGTAAATTTATTTATTATGTACAGCAAATCCTTGACAATTAACAGTATTTGCTGAAATTAGCTTTGATAGCTAGTTGCCATAGTAATAAACAGATTCAAAGTACATTTTAGAAACCTAGTCACTTGCATAAATTTGAACTTAGAACAAATGCGATTTGGATCAATTATCTATACTTCACATTGATACATTGAAAACAATATTTATGAGAAATCAATATGAGGTAAACAATAAAAACATTTGCTCAAATATACCTGATTTTCAAACATATCTATGCATATATTTATATTAAATAATAGTGTTTAACAATAAAAGAACGTATAATTAACTCACTTTCAATACTCTATGACTTAATTCAATTTGTTTACGTTTTAATTGAATGAGTCGTTGTGACATAACAAGTTGACCAGTGCGTAGTTTAGACACTAACTCAGTGATATACTAAAAAGGTAATATATTAAACACATATAAATTACCACGTGAATGAATATGAATAAGAAGACTTTGATGAAAGTCATTTTAGAGAGGCATTTTAAGACAATGTGGTGGAGGGAGGGTGGACGCAGTATAGATGAATGAACAAAGAAAAGTGAAATACAGTTGTGAAAATATGAACATAAGTAAATAGATATACTGATAATGTAATATTTTCAGCAACGTTAATATCGATCAGAAGATACTTGTATGATAATGAATGCTTGATAAAATAATCAATGAGTTTAAATAAACTTTATTGAGTGTTAGGTGATTAAAGCAACCATGGGATATACGTACATTATCAACAATGTACCTAGATAGATGGTTAATTATCTGACCAACAAACACAATTAAGGTCTGAGGGCAAAGCCATACTGCTAATTGAACTGGAATGTGGTAACAGTGAAGTATTTCCTCATATGACCAAGCATCTATAGCACTGTGAAAAGTTAAGCTTTAAAATTAGCACGCCCCACCTTGCCCCACAGATTTCTGTTGCCGATAGTAAAGCCTTTAACGTACAGAGCTAATACATGAAGAACTACTCTGATAAAGGCTACGTGTGATTGCGTTTAGGCAGTTGTCCTCTGGGTCGCCAAAACCACTACCGGTCTAGTTTTCTTTTCGGCTACCTCAAAAACTATTTTTTTGCGATGGAGCCAGCTATAAGGTCCCAGCTATTCACATACTTCTAGCAGAAAACACTAACGGGTACAAACATACTTCAACAAAAAAAGATAAGATGTTTATTTGTTGATAAAAATAAACTGATAGTGAAACAGTCTACAAAAGCTACGCAAATAAAGCAATTCAATGGAAAAAATAAGATATCATACCTTAATCATACTGCTCTGCTGTTCACCGTATGCAAGTTGATCGCATTTACGTCGCTTCAAATCAGGAAATCCAATAAATGGAATTGGGATCATACGATCAGGATGTGGATTGTCGAGACAGGCCTAGATATAGTTCAGAAATTTCAATTTTGTAAACAAAAAGAATGACCAACGTTTCGATAATATACATATAGTTCATATAAAGTGATGAAGTGAATCTCTCATACAGAAATAAATAGAATTACTGAGAATACATAGAAACAACGAATAATTTTTTAAAAAAACATGAGTAAAACCCCATCTATTGTTGCGAACATAAGCTTTCGTGGTTATTTACTGATTTTATGACTCAATACATCAATTCAAACGACTTGGAATTTATACATTACGTCAAACAGGTTACTGAACACTAAATATTTAAAAGTACATGTATTAGTTTATATATTATACCGATTGCACTAAAGTTATTACTTAATTTTATACAAACTGAAGATGGAACTAATGTTGGAACAGTGACGATACCCAATTTTAACAATAATTTGATCCATTTATCAAGTACAGGTTTATGTAGTTGACGATGAGTCACATTTAAGGTTTGAGAGCTAGCTAACTACCTAAAGTGAAATAACTGAAAAAGACTTTAAACCGTCAACCTAGTGATTGAAAACCGACTATTGTTTAACCACTACACAGTGGTCAGATAATTATTTTATTTATTATTTATTTTGACACATAAATATTGGTACAAGGAGGCATCAAAGACATATGCGCCACACAAATCTCATTTGATATGTGTGAGGGCTGTGATACTGCCCGGGTGCACAAACCGAAGCAGGTGGTTTTCTTAGGGAGCCACACACCCGGAGCCTTCGACCTGAAGGTCTGACCCACAAGGCAATGGAGCAACGTAAGGAGATCCAGTCGGTCAGACAATTAAATGCTGAATGTATAAGTTGGAGCAATGAATCCGGTTGAGGCCTCCCACTTTCAGTCAATGTATTGTAGGTTTGAATTTGCTCCACCTTATTAGGTTTGAGTAGTATCAGTAGTCCATTTACTTAGTATGTGGCTCGAAGCCAAGTACAAGAATCTGTATCCGGCAAAATAATTAAGGAATAATAAATGCATAAGAATATCTTAAAAAGTTCAGGAAAATGAAAATATTTCGCACTTAATGTGCTATAGATTTACCTGTTGCCATATTAGTCTGTCAAAGCCAGCTGGTGGATTCTCATTATATGCAACTATCTGCGCAGCAGATGGAGATATTTCCGGAATTAAACGGTTCACACATAATTGTGATTGGAGTTGCGGCGCAACTGATGGACTTGATAAATACTTTGCAAGTTCAGTGGCAGATATAGTCGATGTTGTACCTTCAGTAGGAAGAGTGAAATACAATTTCAAAACGCTAGAATATTAATTAAACTAACTATTCGAGTTATATCACTAAAGATGTGTACTTGCATACTATACACTTTAAACCATACCTATTTGTAAACATTAATAAGTGATTTAGGATAAATGTGAATCCGTTCAACTTGACATACATCACATCAACATATTGAAAATCAGTTAACACGATGTTGACAAAAATAATACTAGCTGTAGTAAAAACCAAAAAGAGAAGAATATAGGCTGTCATATTATCATCAAAAACACACCTCTTATTTGATGTCTGCAGGTACCATATCTGTACAAAGTTAAGTGGATTCTTTCTTTTAGATTCAGAAACAACTGAGTGTAGAGCTATAGAACCGACAAAAAATTCAGGTAAGTGGAAATATGTCCGATGGATAGAAAGCCGACGTTTATACGAAAACTGTGGAGTACTGTGTACACAAAATTACCAATTACTTATGAAACAAATAAATAGTTATGCAGTAAATAAAATCCATTTTGTATTTTTACAAATAACTCAGGAATTATTGAAGTCAGATAAAATTAGGCCATTCCTATTTTATCAATTTGTCTATAATAACTACTGTGGAAGACAAAATGAATGTTCAGTGTACATCTTAGGAGTAATTCTACCAAACTATCCTCAGAGGATTCACTGTTGATTTGATTTTCCGATATTTGCTTATATATATATATATATACTAGTTGAGGGGATTGAATTATTAAAATTATTATTATTATTATTATTATTATTATTATTATTATTATTATTATTATTATTATTATTATTATTATTGAAATTAGAAATATAGAGGAAAAGTTAAAATATTAACTCCCAGATATTAGTGATGGTGAACCGCAAAAAAGTCGGACAATCATGACATAGTCAATTAGAATAATTATAAAGGGCTTTCTGTCTGACCAAGAATCATGCTTTTGCTTTTGATCAACAAGGCTTAAATACATTGATTTCTAGTAGAAATATGCGATGTGTCCCGTTGGGTGAATGACATAAGATACCCTGATCTAATGGTCTCATTATATTAGATAATAGTTTCAGTCAGTCAGTCAGTCAGTAACAACGTAGAACTTCGTACGTACGTACATCAGTTCGAGTTGCCACACCACATTAGCACAGAGATGCAGTTGTCGATTCAAATCCCGTAGTGGTAGAGGTAATAAGAGTATAAGCAGTAATCGGGAAGATTAGGGTTTGGAGATGTTATTTAAAGAGTATAATCCAGTGAAATCAATTTGGAAAGAGAAAAAACAGAAAGGGATATGAAGAATTCAGGAGATTAGGATTTGGGAGAACACAGAGAGTAGATAAACCTGCGCCATTGCAAACCATTTTGAGCCATGTCATTCAGGGTCTCTAACCATCGGTTGCTATCATCTCGTGGTCCCCAAGCAGGTAGTCTACACTTACCAACATGACTCAGTCCACTTGTCAGTGACTTCATGGACTTGTGCCATGTTTTGGTTTGGCCACCCCTAGCTTTCTTCCAACCTACTCCTATACCACTGAACATAGCACGTCGAGGCAGTCGGTCGTTGGGCATACTAGTTCGGCTATCGATGTAACCCAATCCTGAAGCAATATTTTGCATTTCGAGGGAGAGAATCGCATCCCGAACATGCTTGCATTGTTGCTTATGGTGGTCAGAAGACTCTGCATTTTGTCAGCGTCTTCACCAAATAAAACTATGTCATCTGCATATTGTAAGTCAATAAGTGAACCTCCCGGTAGTTCAACCCCTGGAAATTTAGATGAGGAGAGTGTTATCTCTAAAAGTACGTCAATGACAAAGTTAAACAAGAATGGGGAGAGTGGACAGCCCTGACGAACACCACTTGAGGTAATCAATTCTGATGACAGTTCGCCATAAGCTCTCACTCTACCAGTTGTGTTCGAGTAGAGAGCCTTTATAAGGTTAATGTACTTCTTTGGTACTCCTTTCAGTGACAAACACTGCCATAGAACCTCACGATCAACAGAGTCGAATGCCGCCTTAAGGTCGAGAAATACTACCATTGTGGGGCATCTGAATGTGTGTCTGTGTTCTAGAACCTGACGTAGTGTGAATATCTGATCTATACAACCACGTCCAGGTCGAAAACCAGCCTGGTTGTCTCTAGTCTGCTCTTCACGAGCTTTGATTAGGCGTCGAAGTATTATTGAGGCTAATATTTTAGATACTATATTAGTCAAACTGACTCCTCTGTGATTGTCACAAGAGGACTTTTGTCCTGTCTTAAAGACTGGCACAATCAGTGATTGAGACCAGTCATATGGGATTACGTCCAGTTCCCAAATTCTACCTAAGACCTCGGTTAATCTCATTGCTAATACTGGACCACCATCCTTAAAAATCTCAGGAGTAAACCTGTCAGGGCCTGCTGCTCTCCCTCGCTTCAGATTTTTTATGGCTTTTTCAACTTCGTAAAGAGTCGGAGGACCTACATTAACTTGACTGGAGATCGTGGGAAACTGAAGTGTGGATGAAGGCCAGTTGAGCTGATCCCTAAAGTGTTCTGCCCATCGATCCAATCTCCTGGATTGAGAATGAATAATATGTCCATCTTTCTCTGAGATTGTTTCGCTAACGGTCGGGTTCCTAATACAGGTTTCCTTAACGAGTCTGAACAATTGTCTGCTATTACCCATTGCCGCTGCCTTTTCCATCTCTCTTGCTTTCGCTACCCACCACTGTTCGCGATCATTGCGTAAACTTCTTGTCAGCTTGCGCTTAAGCTGACTCCGCTCTTCATTATGTTCAGAGCCAGGTGGAATGAGTTTCCGAGCATCTATCAGTGCGATAGATGCTGCTGAGATCCAGTGTTGCTCCCTAACCTTCTGGTTTACCTTGCTAGCAGATATCACTGCTGTTTCCACAGCTTTTCGGATATCATTCCATGCTGCCTCGGGGTGGGCATCACATACATGGCTGTCTAACTGTTTGCCTAGTTGTTCCTGAAATATACTCTTAGCTTGACTATCATTAAGTAGGCCCCTAAGAGGTTTCCTTGCAGCGTCTTTCCTACGTCCAGTAAGACGCAAGCAAATACGCGCTCGCACTAGAGCATGATCTGAATCTAGGCATGTGCTCCAGAATGAGCGACAGTCTTCTATCGAGCCCCTCCATCGGTGGCTGATAGCGATGTGATCTATTTGGGTCCAACGTTGGGACGAATTAGGGGGTCGCCATGTTAAAAGATGTTTTTCCTTATGCTTAAAGTTAGTATTTGCAAGGAACAGGCGGTTATCTGAGCATAGCTGCAACAGCCGGTCGCCATTATCTGTTCTTTGAGCCACGACACCATAAGATCCACCCAGGTGTCTTTCCCTATCGCTTAGTTTACCTACTTGAGCATTAAAGTCACCGGCCACTATTACTACATCAGAGCGCCTAGCTTTTCGGAGAAGGTCCGAAAGCTTTCTGTAAAACTCATCTTTTACATCATCTGAGCTGCAGTCAGTGGGAGAATAGGCAGAGTCGACGAAGAGGCAACGACGAGTGTCCCTATCTTTCCGGATTCTTACTGTTCCGTTCAGTCGGACAGCGCACAGACGACTGTCTACTGTGATCCACTCTAAGAGAGCTAGTTCTGCCCTAGGACTCAATGCTATACCTACGCCGGCGAGGCCACGGGAAGCAGAATCAGGGCTTCCAGATACACGAAGCGTAAATCGAGTCGGTTCTTTATTTTGGCTTGCTGATGTCAAATGAATGACGCTACTCGGATCCTGTATGCGCGTTTCCGAGACGCAGCACACATCGATGGCGCGAGATTCTAAAGTTTTAGCTAAGGAAGCCTGCTGCCCTATTTGGCAAAGTGTTCGTACGTTAAAAGCTCCTACGTGTAGTTTAGAGCGTGGTTTCAGGAGACCAGGAATTGCGTTCCACGTACTCGAATCGTTTGCCCTAGCGGCGCGAGGTGATAAAGAGACGTGAGGAGGGTTAGTCATGGAGATAAGAGAGGTATTAGGAGGTGTAGGAAGGATTTGAATGTGACCACCTTGGTCTCTTGTGCTGTTACGGGTATGAGGGCTGATGTCACTTCCCGGCTGCCCACACCGTGGAAGGGTATTTCTTGAGGAACCTGAAAAGGAAATTGGATTAGTGTTGGTCTTGACGACCTGGGAGCGTGACCGCAGAGCCCAAGAGACAACTGCTTGAGGCCGGTCGCGCACGGCCTTTTTGTGGAAGGTTTTTGACGTGTTAGCTCCGTTCTTCAAGGGGCCTTACCGCCGGAGACGGAAATCCGTGAGGTAAGGTGAGGTGTGACATTTTTAGGGTCAACCTTTTCTAACCCCACCCCTCCTTGTGGGAAGGCAGCATCGCTGTCATGCTGGTTGTCCGAGGGAAACACCTTACTGCTGTCACACCTCTCTACAGTCAGCAGTACGATTTCGCCCTCAGACCTTGAGTTGCTGCTTTTAGTCTTACCGTTCACCAATCGACCTGCCTGGCATGGTAGAACCTGCAGGAACATATGTTCCAGCCAATATAGCTCGGTTGGGTCATCACGATAGGCAAGCCCGACCACCGCGTCAAGGTAGCAGCTTCGATCGGGAGATAATAGTTTCACAACACTGTCGAACAAATTTTAAGAGCTATTCGGTATTCTCTATGTTCAATAAACATATTTCGTATAAATTTATTGAAATATACTGCTCTAAGATACAACTACTTAAACAACTGAGAAGAATAATGTTAACACAAGAGCCTACATCTGACACTCTCCCAACGTATTTTTCCAGAACAACTGAATGAAGAAATCTTGATTTTAGAAAAAAAATTAATTAGATAAAGCTCAGGAGGACTAGGAATAGTGAAAGTATAGGGTTGTAAATTTTTATGATTAATTAATGAGATAGCTCAACAAAATGATACTACAGCCATATGTTAACTAAGAACACATTGTGACGAAAATTATGGGTCATAATATCCCTCAAAAATGTTAGACAATATTATGCTGACGAATTCACACTGTAATATGATCTAACTGGGAAACAAATGGCAGCTAAAAATACACCAAAAAGGTGTGTAAAACGTTAAACACTTACTAAAAACAACAGCATACTAATAATATGATACAGTTTATAGACCAAATGAACTAACTTACCAGTGGCTAATCGTTCCACAACTTTTAATATGACCTCAGTACTATCTTCAGCTTCAGCACATGGACGAATTTCTTCCACCATCAGCTGTAAATTAGGACGACCACCTAATAGTCTGAATAAAATATCTTGTACAGCTTGACGTTGATTTGTAACTTCAGAGAATGGACGACCAATATATAAACAAACAAGTCCATCAGCATCAGTACTTGTAGGCAAAACATTGTATCCAATAGATTTTAATCGAGCAAATGTATTCTCTGGCGTATAATTCACCATACCTACAGCACTGTAACCAATACCAGTACCCCACATTGCTTGTAGTTGATTCCAACGTGCTATAACTGCATCACGTTCATCACCAAATAGCATAGGCTGAGATAGAGAAGCAAAAAAAGCATCCACTGTATTCTGTTGTGCAACTTGTAGCTGTTGTTGTTGCTGCTGAGCAGTTACAGGAAGACTTTGATCAAAACCGAAACCTTGCGCTATAATAAACGAAAAATGTTTACAGTCAGTTGCTGCATAACACACAAAATACAAACTTTAATTATGGAATGACGAAACGCAATGTCATTAGCAAGATAGTAATAACCCACATACTTAAAGTTGAAAGACTTTACTAAAGTGACATTCACGATATGTCACAAAGTCTATAACTCAGTAACCAAGTACAGTTGTTTTAAATTCACTTTGAATTAATCTTAGGGGAATGCTAGTGGCATGAATTTGTTACCCAAATAGAAGTAAGTAGAGTGAGTTTTGAGCCTACAAACAAACCAACAAGCATTTCTTAGGATACTTTTCATAATTTTATCAACAGTTGGAGAACGAAAAAGTAGGACTGACGTGACCAATTCAAATTATGGTTCAAAACTAACAGCATAACGATAATAATTTATGGCCTCATTTAGTATTATGTTGCTAGCACAATATGGAATTCCTAGTATATAATTTATCAACAAGTTTCTCTTACACTTCTTGTATAGAAAAGAATAGGTAACTCCATACATATATACATAAAATAAATAAATAAATTTCGCGCTGTTGTTTAACAAGATATAAATTATAGCTGGCTAAATAAACATTTATTAAGACATTTAAGCCGACAGCAAAAGCTTTTCCTCATTAAGATAAGTACATTGGGTTCCTTTATTGAGAGTACAGTAACATAAAGCTTCAGAGGCACCTTCTCAAGTTCTGGAACTAATACAAAATTAACCACCACATATAATAAGTAATTATTAAGATAACTTTGAGGCGAAACTTAATACAATAGTGCTTACAACAAATAGCACTTTTAACCATTGCGTATCTCATGCTGAACATCGAAAACTCAACAAAATCTATCGTAAAACGACTTAGACCAGTCACGTAAAATTAAAATAAAAAATAGAATTAATCACAAAAGTTTATCTGAAGATAACGATAGAGCAACTCACTTTTTGGGATGTTGAACAAACTTTGAGTTGGTTGTGTGAAGCTAAATCCAGTATTCTGAGACGCTTGTTGACCAAACTGTGATCCGAATAGATTTAAACCCATCTGAGTACTAGTGGTGGGAGCACAAAAAGTAGAACCAAACAACCCAGTGGATGTTTTCGGAGTGTTTAGGTTAAATCCTTGAAAAGGAGTTGAATTTTGTCCAAATCCAGGGAAGGTTGTATTGGTTGTTTTTGCCGCTGCAGCTTGAAACAATCCAGAACTCATAGTTGAAACAGTAGACCCCAAACCAAAGTTTCCAAATGGTGTCGTTGTACTGGCAAGTGATGGCTGTAATCCGAAACCAAGAGTTGGAGCTGCACTAACAGCGCTTGTCGTCGGTTGTGAAAACCCGAATAACTTAGGAGATCCAAATAAACTCATCTGGAAATCAAGCAAAACACTAGTCCTATGATTTTTTTATATATGAAAAACAAGTTTATGTTATGTCACGTTACACTTAAATTCCACTTTCACCACTGTAAATTGAATCCCCAACACGCACGAAGTGTATGGAAAATACTGGTAATAAAACGTTTACCTAAACACAGGTTTACAGAGGAAATAAAGGTTTAAATACTCGACCTTTAGATAAACTTATTGTGAGGGTTGTACATGTAAGCCAACTAACTTAAATGAATTCAGGACTTGAAATCAACGTTGAAAAGTCAAGCGTCGAAACCACTAGGCTATAGTTCGCTGATAAGTACAATCGAAGACTCATACGAAGGTAGAAAGTCAGGGCCAGAAAAAATCGCCCATCAACCTAATTTACTAAGCTCCACATTAAAACAATTATAATGTTAACAACACTACTCCAATGCTAAACAACAAGGAAAGCCTAAGTGGTAGCTGAGCGTCCATAATATTTGCTACACTACGTAATCATACCATGTTTCCTTAGTACTTTTAAATAAGGACTAGTTTTGATTGAAGGATCACTATAAAGAGTCAAGTTTTTGGGATTAGCTTCTCTAGTTTCTTGACATCAAGTGATTTGTACATATAATCAAAACACCCAAACTTCAGGTAAACATCAACCCCTAACCCAGAGAAATTTTTCTTCAGTCTATATTGCCAAGAACAAAGTTGGAATAATTCCAATCCGAAGGTAGCCAGGATATCTTTGTTTGATTCTCCAATTTTCAATAACACGGTATACCTTGCTTTAAAACAGATAATAGAGTCAACCTAAGATTTATTTAAAACTATTTTAAGTGCCAAGATACTACCGAATACTAGGCAATTCGAAAAAAGACTGAGCATCTAAAACAGACAGTATTAAACAATCGTTCGGACATCTGAATTTATAACTTGTAGACATTACTTTTAACCATTCATTGAACAGAACTGTTGTGGAGAAAACCAGTAAAACTGGAAAACTACAAGTTGTTTTGGAACTCTACTCAAATTCTTTTTTTTAGAGAACCACTGTTTCATTAGTGCCTAGATTTTTCTATAATTGTTGGTGAACATCTCTATCAGTTGAGTATCTTCTAGGACAAAAGATTGCTTAAAAACGAGCGGCAAGTTTTCTGACTTCCATTATAGTACTAAGAGAATGGAAACATGAAGCCGAGAACAAAATTTAAGGAGTAAATAAATACTTACATCATTCAGTCATTAGTATCACATTTGTAAGTCCGAATTTATGGATAGAAGTGGTGTTATTTAAATCATGCGTCATTAACTAATGAGTACCCAGATATGCTGACAGAAAGTCAGTTACTCAGAAAAGTCATAAAGCCTATAGGCTTCACCAGGCTTACCAACCTAAGCAAAGAAGAATACGGAAATAAAGGTGAACTTAAAATGACTCATTATCTCCCCATCGTGAACAAAAGAAGGAAGCTCTTAATTACAAATCCTCCTGAATAATGTCGCTTATATTCGCCCCAAGTTCACCTTTATTTCCCTATTACTGTTTGCTTGGTTAGTGTATTGACGGCTTTCTATAGTTGATAATTTATGAAAACCCGCAATTAGATTGTCAATTTTGAAGTTAATGAACTATCAAAATAGAAACTTAGTTAAGTAATCCAAATGACAACAGACAAAACCTAATAACTATTAAAACCCGAACACGCTAACCTTGAGGTTTGAGCAAGTTTTCTGTAGGGGCCTTGAAATTTTTCATTTTTAATGCCCAATCCTCAGTTAAATATTCGAACTTTAACTGAACGATAGAAATCGATATTTTTCGAAATATTCATGACGGAAATAACAAACTGCCATTTCTGTGTAATCTAAAGTACGTTTTAATGTCAAAGCGCATTATCGATCCATCTAAATAAAAATGAAAATAAGCAAATTGACATATGACTATCATGTCCCACAACAAAACCTTCTGTACGAAACATATCACGAACTCGTAACTCACATAAGGGCTAATGGAAAATTGTTTTTAAGCCAAGTAGTTTTATGGTCATTTCCCTTTGAATGAGTTACAAATTTAGCTATGTATAACTCCCCGAAATCAATATCTCTGTTAGTCTTCGACATTTGATACTGACGACATTAGTTTTGATGGACTCACCTAGCTGAAAGCGCTCGGACACGCATTCGCATCATATCGCGAGTGAGTACACCATGCTTCACATCTCCTACGACCTCTAGCCAGCTTAGATTGACCACTTCTCGATATATCGATAGTCTATGAAATATGTCTTTGAACCTCTTCGCTCTTGACTGGGTTGACACGTTTACATTAAAAAAAGTGTTACTGGTTAAGGCGCTGTCAAACTTCGGATACTTGTGGCATCTTTTCAGAAAAGTAACATCATTCCTCATATGAGGTAAATGGTGACGAATTTTTTTTATGAGATCATAAGGGTGTAGTGAATATGACTTTTACTAACGTTACGATAATAAAGACATGACAAAGGGGAAAAATACTGGCAATCATATATCATTTAACCTACTGACCTAAAGATAAACATAGATAAATAAAGTGATGAATAGAAGGGAGCTATATATGATATTAACGTTTGACTGCTAAGCTATTTTCCAGTCAGTGTTAGAGTTCTATGTCGAAACTGGTTTGAACGCCTTTCCAATCTCCTTTCTGCAGTCAGCGTCCAGTAAACCTAAACGGTCAGCGTCAGTGTCGAACATTTAAAAAACCTGTTGTTTTAAAGAATTCACAGCCAAAACTCTAGAAATCAAACTGTGGAAGATAAAATAAACATGTGCTTTACGACAGTGTGAAGGACATACTAATTATGTAAACCGTAATTCCGAAACAACATACAATTAATAATACTAATTTAGTACTTATGGTGTGAGTAAACTCCATTTCTCCATTATGTCATACAAAAGTATTTATCTACTCTCCCCAGATGTAATTAGATGAAACCAACAGTTCATTTCTTCTGGTTAAAATAGTACATTATTCCTCCCAAATAAGGGAAAAGCTTGTCGGTTTAAAATCTTTTCGATGTACTACAAACCGTTCGGATGAGAACAGGCAACATAAATTCCCAAGAAAAATGAGATCTGATGTAGGAAGAGAAAAATGTGTGAAGCAGAATGTAATGATAAGGTTTTTAATCTGAGGAGTACGATTTTCTGATTTAACCACCACTGAAATTCACAACCGTTTAAAGAAACACAATTCGGGGATATATAAAACCGCTGATCCATTTGTCAACATAATAACGTATAGCTTTAGCAGATTTAGCAATGACGCTGTATGTAAATCAATTTTCAACTATGACTGTACTTAATTCAGAGTTCGTAAAATATTGAGGTAACGTAAACTAGTGCGAACTTGAACGCCATATTAAAAACTGACGGTTAAGTTTAATGTCTTGAAGAATAAAGATTTACGGGGCAGACAAAAGATTATGTGTATATCTAATCGGAAAGCAGTGTTGATGATTATGAACGTTAGACCCCTGCCAATATCGTGAGTCTGTAGAATTACGGTCTACTATGAAGACTATTAGAATAATAGGTTTACATAAATATAGTCAATCGAGAAAGTTAAAGTGGAAATACGGATTAATAATAATAGTTTGCGATTCTTTGGTCGGGCTTACCAATGTAGAATTACGGTCTACTATGATATTAGTACTGCTCTAATATAAGACCTAATCCTAAAACTGCACATTTGTCATGATATAACTGCCTAATATATAAGATCTTACGTGGAAGTCACATCGTCGTCTACACCAACTCACTGTATCGTAACAATTACCAATACACAATGGAGAACAAGCTTAGGCTAGAGAAAAAACAATATATTTAAAATGAATAAAAGACATAAGGTAACATTCCACAGGTATCATGCCTGCATGGTCGAGCCATGTCATCCGATCAACTTCAATTAATCCAACTAATTGTTCCCGCCTTTTCCATCGTTAGGTAATTCTCCGCGTTAAATATTGAATATCTATTTTCTGAGTAGTCTCGTGTTCAGCTTTGAGGATTGTGTGGTTATGGTACAATGCCAATACAAGTCTTATGTCTACTCGGTGTGCTTATACTAGCAAGCAGATAAGTTACCAGTTATGAGTATTTCATGTGCACGATTTCCGGACGTTCACATGAGCGGATAGATCGAGAAGTTTAACTAGCTTCTGCAAGGAGGATAGGTGTTACTGACGTACATATTCCAACCATATGAAATTCTTATTGTACATGAGAAATAGATTATAAGTGCAAATAACGGAAATGCACATAAAATACATTTGTCTTTACAGAAGAAACATAATCTAACTTAACGAGGGTAAAGTAGTATGCTTATTAGTTAGCTTTGTAAGTATATAAAAATGACGAAGATTTAAGTGGTTCGTCTGTGTTATAATCTCATTCTTACGGTAATGACCCAAGCTATTCCTATTGCTTAGCATTCTCGGACACCGATTTACTCGACAAGTCTCCAAATCAGAACACGGTTGAACAGGAAAGAGATTATATTCCAAATAACAAGGTTAGATGGAAATAAGAAGCACAAAAGGGAAAACGTTAGTATATTTATATTTTTTACATGAGAAGATTCTAGAGTATTCTCCAACTATCGACTAGTGCTGATTGGATAAAAATAAGCCAATGAGCGTGCACCAAAGCAATCGTGTACTGAGCATGCTTTAATCCAGTCTGTGTCCCGCTAACAGTCTGTCCAGTGGTTTTCTAATTGCTTTTAAGACTTCAGATGACAGTGAATTTGCTCAGATGTTATAAAGTCAATACAAAATCTAGACGAATGGACGATAAATACCTCAGTGCCAAACATGACATCCGTCGAATTTTTTAAGACTTAACAGATCTGTCATTTTCGTTCTGGATAAAAAATTGTCTGGATGGACTATTTTATTCCAAGCATTCTCGTCTTGACTGACCTTATTTTAGTAACCTTACGAGGGGTCAGTTACGTGCCAATACGACCTAGTTATTTCTTATGAGTCTGATGAGAGTAGGACCGGTGCTTTACTGTTGGCTTTCACCATCAATTCCATCAAGATCTATATCTTTTATGAATGATAACTATAATGAACAGCAGATGGGTTTCTGATTGTCCAATCGTGTTACTTGTTTTAAGACGTCGCAAGTGTAGTGAACAAAAAAACAAGTGCGAGCAATCAAATGTATTTGAATATGAAATTACGGAACATCTTAGTAAAATCTGAAAGCAATACAGTAAATACTTCATTTGCAAAATGTCAATCAATCGTCTCAGACTTCATTGTTCTTTCGTTTACACATCAATTGTTCTTTGTCCTCGTTCTACGTCTTTAATTTCCTTAACGTTCTGCCTCCAAGCATTTCACTTTTGATTGATGGTATACATGTAGAACTATGGTCTACTATGATATTAGTACTGCTCTAATATAAGACCTAATCCTAAAACTGCACATTTGTCATGATATAACTGCCTAATATATAAGATCTTACGTGGAAGTCACATCGTCGTCTACACCAACTCACTGTATCGTAACAATTACCAATACACAATGGAGAACAAGCTTAGGCTAGAGAAAGAACAATATATTTAGAATGAATAAAAGATATAAGGTAATATTCAGCAGGGACCACGCCTGCATGGCCGAGCCATGCCATCCGATCAACTTCAATTAATCCAACTAATTGTTCGCGCCTTCTCCATCGTTAGGTATTTCTCCGTGTTGAATATTGAATATCTACTTTCTGAGTAGTGTTGTGTTCAGCTTTGAAGATTGTGTGGTTATGGTCCAATGCCACTACATACACTACTTATATTTATTGTCAAGTAACACACAGCGCACAATCACTGACTGGAAACCTCTGATCCTTCGTCCTTATTAAGAGGTTCTATGGTGCCGAATAGCTAAATTTTCAAGGTAATTATTTGTTCTATTATCGCTTAATCATTGGCACACTTGTTGTTGTTAAAAAAAGCATTAAATTAAGGATAAACTTAGCAGCATGTTTGTTGCTTTTCAAAGGTGTTTAAAGTCACAGGCTACTCCGTTTATTATTTTCAATATCTAATGTTATATCTACACTTTTACAAGAGACACTGCTAGTAGTATGAAGAGAAAGCTGTTAATATCACGACCATATAACCAATTTTCACAGGCTTCATTTTTCTTGGTGCCACCACATGGGCCGTTCATTTTATATCGCATACCTTCATTATATTTCTGTATTGTTACTGTTTCTTCTAATCCAGTAATGTATATTAAAAAAGAAAGATATAAAGTTTACGCATATTCGAAAACATAGTCCTAAGTCTCATGCCAAGTGAGCTATTCATGAGAATAATCACTAAACTATATAGTAGAAGGGATGGTCTGAAGAGAGCAACCGAATCGTGAAAAATTGTAGCATATGCAAAAGCAATGACATTATCGAACGTACCAAGTTTACATAAGTACACATGTGGTATACTCTTTGTACATCGACTGACACTTACCTTCTCACAGTTATCTTGTAATAAATTAGCCGTGTTACCGATGAGTAAATATAGGTTTGAGTTTGATACGATGACAGCCTTTCTATGGCTACTGCCAGACTCGAGCCCAGATAAACAAGTAGGGTTGTATACAGTACCAGCAAACTCGTCCATGACAGCTTGGATGCAGACAGACTATTTGGATTACGCAGACAACATAGCTATTCCATCTTATATACACTGGGGATCGCTAATGTAGATGATCTATGTCGAATCAACGGAGGCCTACTCGGGTTAGACGGGAGTGGTGTGACGAGCCAACTAACTTCGAAATCACACCTTGCAGTCAGCACCTAACCTGGATTATCCTCCCGTCGTATCATGGCGCCATGGCTGTTCTGAAGACAGTACAACACAAAGGACTTCATTAAAGAAATATATTAGTATGAGTAGACACAAGGAAGAGATTGCAACCACCATCTCATGGGCCAGACTATGGCGTGCGATTAATTAATGTGCGTTGGTTATGTGGTGGTCGGTATTCAATATAATCCTTAAATTTCGTATACAGTTCGTCTTGATAACCGTTCTATATAACGCCCCAACGGTATATTAATCAGAAGGCGAATACGAAGCGTTGATTACGTTTATTACGAGACCACACACATATATCCAAATGTACAGATGAGTTAAACGAGCATAGAAGAGTTGTGCCGAAAGGCAAGCAAGCGATCGAGCGAATATGAGTAAGCGAGTACAATCAAGCGAGCGAGAGCCAGAGACGGACGAGAGTGTAATGAATATGAATAACATGGACATATATATACTTAGTGAAATGAATGAGTCATCGGATCAAATAAGCGGTTAGAAGTAAGACTAGCAGAGTGAATAAATGCGTAGGCAGTAAGCACTATTCAAGCATACGTATTTCATACAAGCACAAAATAAAAAGGGGTACAATAAATTGTTATAGCGCGGATGACTTTGTCCGCTAAATAAGTTAGCAAAAGGGCTTAACTAAGTGAGAATAAACTCAATTGCACGTGATTCGCTGTAGTTATTCTTGGCCTTGGAGATGATCAATGAACTGTTAGGTATTCAGTGACCCGACAACCGGATGATCTGGTTTTGGCTCAGTAACATTTTTATGGCTGCAACACCGACAAATACGAAGCAAGACAGCCAGCACATTAGCAGCCTCTGTAGCAGTAGGTTTCAAAATGCACAAAAAATAAAGCAAGATCCTCAAATACAACACAGAGAGCAAAAATTCAATCACATTTGAAGGAGAAGCTCTGGATGAGATCGAGACTTTCGCACATACGGACAGCATCATCAGCGAACAAGATTTGTTGCAGATATGCACGAAAAAATTGACAAATCATTTCAAAAGTTAACATATGGAACCCAGACTATTTGGTAGAGAACGAAGCAGCTCCCAGATGAAGAGGAATTTGGGAAATGACTCATAATATATAGAAAGAAATCGTGAAATTCTATTTGGATTTAATCAGTATAGGGGAGATTATAGAAAGCTGATCAACAGTCATAACGGCATACTGTGTCAACAATATCAGTAACTCCATAACATTTGATTAGATGGGACTACTTTGTACTTAATCGTATCACTCTGTGGTATATTTTATTCGATTATCACATTTCCTTAATTTGATCTAAAGTTATTTACACCTAACTGCGTCACAAGTCAAGCCCTCACTTGGAATCCTCAAAACCAAAGAAGACATTACGCCGAGAAATGGAGACGGACATGAGAAGAATGAACAACAATTGGACAGAACTAGAAATGAAGGCTCAGGACAGAGTTGGAGAATGCCGGTCATCGGCCAATGTTTCGCTGGGAGTAACAGGCGTAAGAAATAAATGTATCTACGAAGTAATAACAAATATTGTGAGTTCTGAAGACACAACGACAAACTAAAACTCGTTAACAACAAATTAGGATTTTAACAATGTCAACATAATTATACGTTTGGATAGATATCACAACTATTATTTCTACATATACCCATAAAATGGACAATAGGCGTCTATGTCAAGCGTTAACTACTGATTCATCTATTCACTTCTCATTGGGTAGTAGAGTAATATTGAAAAGCTGTGTAGATTACACTTTATGATAACTGCACACATGCCGAAATATTGCTACATTCTTGATTGCTAAAAACACACACTTTCGAGTTTTTTATTCATGCCTGAGATCTGGGTAATTAATTAATTATTTTATTTTAACACATAGATATCGGTACAAGGGGGTATCAAATACATATGTGCCACTCAGATCTCATTTGATATGTGTGAGGGCTATGATACTGCCCGGGTGCCCAAACCGAAGCAGGTGACCTGGTAATTCCAAGACTTACTTTCTGTGACGCGGAATTGCAGATAAGTAAAAAAAGATAATTTGTGTGATTGTATTCTTAATTATCAGTCAATGATAACTTTTCATTACAAAACTTAGACTGTGAGTTCTAGCTTACACATTTACACGTCTGAATTGGGGAAACAATCAATATTAGACGGAAAATTAAGACCTTAATTGTTGTACTAATATAAACAATAAATCACCCATCCTCATTCAATTTGCATTAACAAATTACAAGAAATAAATGAACTGGATATTATTTATTGTTGCCTTGATAAAATATACACAACAGCACTTGAAATGCGGAGTGACCTCTTTCATTGAATGTGGGTAATTCAGAGGAAGTCAATAAAAATACAAAGATGGTTATCAAGACTACTTCACATCTTATAAATCAAGAGTAGTGGTGATATCTGAATGTGTGAACATGGATCAAGTTTGCGCTTGCAATTTCGGCTCTTGGCTTTGCTTTTGATCTTGTTGAAGTTTACGATTTTGAATCCTGTGAACAATTCGTTCGAGTATCCGTCGAGCATCACAATCAGGGAAATTAGACATATCATAATATTGAGGCGCGATACGCACAAGCCTACATGGGGAGAGAACATGAAATAAGGTAAGTACTGGCAATACAGTAAGTAGTTTGTGAGATAATATTAGTGAATAAGAGATAGTAGAAAGTTTTTTTTTAAAGTACTCAACACGCATTATCGAGCCAACTAGATTAGTGGTCACATTGCAACTTGGTCGACAGGATTCAATCTGCAATAAGAAGGACCTGACACATATTGACATTAATCACCACCCAGCGATCAACCAATTGTGAGTACATCTCAGTCCTACAAGAGGTTAGTCGCGGGCCGGATATCCCAGTGGTAACGCCTCTGACTGTGAAGCTGGGTGACAAACACCGAATTCGTCAGGGAGCATCAGTCCCCTCAAGATTACAGGTACACCTGGCTGACAAGTGCCAAATAGCACGAAATTCAGGTTCAGGGTTTCCTGTTAACAACCTCCAGTCATCATCTTATCTCGACATATAGTGCACACAATGTCAAGTCACCTAGATTAGTGGCCACATTGCAACTTGATCGATAGAATTTCATCTGGACTAAGGAGGACCTAACACACGACATTGATCACTACCCAGTGATCAATCAGTTGTGATTTTTTGGAATCAATTGGATAATTGCAATTATAACTGAAACTACATACTATTCACTCCGTATAGCTACGCCTTAAATTAACAATCAAAATGGAATTTATTTCTATATTGATAGAATTCTTGCTGACTAATTCGATTCAACATTTCTGTAGAATATCTTACTGCACATTTAAGTATTTTAAAATAAACTCATCTGTTTCTATTCAAATGCTGAAACAAACAAAACCAATGTGCAATGGTATACTTATGAATGAATTTACATTCAAAAAATAAAGTTCATTAAAAAATCACCTTTGACCATAATAAAGTAATTTCTCATCTATTCATTTCACAGATTTTACTGAAAATATATATGCACGTAAAAAACCGATAAAAGTATAACTGAAATACAGTTTTAACTAACAAAGTAATGATGTATTAAGTTGAGCGCTATGTGTGCATGGATGGTAATCAGAAGAATTTTCACTAGTTGTGTATGAGCATACAGGTTAGTATGATAGTTAAAATATACACTTTGTGGACTAAGAATGATTTGCATTTCACTGAGTTTTAGAAAAGTTAACTGAATATGAAAACTATAGAAATCTTACCAATCTGGTTTTACTTCAGTCACTGTACGTATGTAATTCTTTGTTGTAAGGACGAACTCATTGTACAACACCCATTCCGGTTTGTGATCCATTACTGTAGAGGGGTGAAGCTGGACCACTTGGTTGTCTTTTACAGTTAAATAATGTCCAGTACGTTCAAGATGCGCAACCTGGGGAGGGAGAATAAATAATAATTAAGTTGACTAATCTTGCTTCAGAAGTCCACAGTAATAAAAAAATTTAGCAGTGACTACGACTATACATATGTTTAGTTACAATCCAGGATACTATGAAGACTAATAATAAAAATACCAAAACAAAAGGGAATAATTGGATTGTAAATTGAACAGATGATACAAATGATCGAAAATAAAGTTTTGCATGTTAGATATCATTCGTTTGAATTGTAAGTACAGTATTTATTTAGTCATTTGAGGAAATCATACTAATGTAGAACATTCCGGAAAGGATGAATAAAAAGTTCTATCTTATAATCGACAAAAATAAATTCTGTAAAAAGATATATATTAAAGTGAAACAAAGAACTTTCTTTGTTATACCTGCATGAAAAAGCCAGATACCAAAGCTTTTCGAATGTTAATGTAATAATCTCGAGAAGTGAAGTCTGTACTTGAACGACGAAGAGAAAATCGATCCATAATACGTGATAATTGTACCCGAACGTTGTCAGCAGATTTTAATGAGCGGAAATTTATGAAATTATCATAACACCACTGTGGATCTTCATGATCTATGAATGTAAAAAACAAGTTGATTTGTGTTAGAAAAATAAATCCAAACTAAAAATGAATTCTTACAATAAACACATTTTTGGAACTATATTACTAGTATCATGTAGTGCTCTCAAGCGACCAACTAAATAGAAAATCTACGGAAAGAGATTTAATCTTATCGGGAGTGAAACTATGAATTTGTATCACATTGATCTGAAATTATCCAGTCACCGGCTCGAAAAATTCACAATAGTATCTAGTTCAGTACCACATGTAGTCGAAAAACACTACAGATTACTGTAACTACATCAATAGATTAACAGCTATGACTTTTCAGCTATTTATCATGAAACTGTCAGTGTCTTACTTTTCTCATTTAGAAAGCACTTATTCCAAAACGGGTAGTGTTATAACCCAGTGAAGTATAGTTACAGGTAACTTCCGAGGACTGTCAATAGACTAATATTCTATAAATATTCTTATTGTATAATTATTCAACAATTACATTGTGTGTATTTATATTCCCCTTATTATAAGCTCTATTTTGACCTATGATTTATTAATATACGATTTACGGTTCTTAATCTATGTTCAGTCTATTAATTATTATCTCTCGCGTTCACAGCCATTTTTTGGCTTATTTGTGTACACATGTTATTTTCTATTTTATGGTACGTTGTGGTCTGTATGATTGGTATATAAACAGAGTATGTTTGAAATACATAATTCATATTGCGGAAGCTGGTATTGTGTTTTTTTTGGACTCAAGCAGACGGGCTAGAAAGACCTCGGACCAACAAGGTGCTAGACTGCTCACACCGGTTGAACGTCATTGATTGGTATAGAGTGAAGATTTGTATAAGTCGTATTCCGATTGGTGGATAATTCGCGTGGTAGAAAGGCCAGACATCAAGGTCATAACAGGTAGTGTTTGATTTAACTCTCTACATTATGATAATTTGTGGGGATGATGTGCCTTAAAGGATATCCTATAAGTGGTTCGATATTTTACTTCACATAGCTGTAAAAGTTTATGGAGGAAAACCATATGAAATGACAACAACCATGTGGATAACAGAGAACCTGGTGAACAAAGTTTAAAAAATGCTCAGCGGGCAATGCATAGGTCACAGCTATCGCTAAACTACACCGGTCAGCAGAAACGGGAACATTGTTACTATCATAGCGTTTAGGTAAATTTGTGATTGCCTGTTGATTTTGTTATCATTGAGAAGACAAGAAATGTGAGCCATGGACCATACAGACCTCGTATCCACTGGCATATTTGGTGATCCCAATATTTCCTTTATTTGAGGGGACTTCTGATGCTGGAGAATAGACAAGCGTGGAAAAACTGATTTACTTGAACTATAACCACGAGACTTTGCAAATCTACCGAAACGTTAACAGTAGTGACAGTCAATTCGGGAAGGTGCGTTCACATTGAGAGGTTGCACCAGGCCCCTAGCTTTATCATAATCATACTGTTGGTGAGCAGAGCTTGGTCGGTTAATGTATTGGACATCCATCAACGGAATAGTGGGAGTGTTAATTGCTTCCAACTCTTCTGTATGCTAAACCAAATTCGTATTTCTTAGGAGTAAATAGAGACGATGGTGGATTCCTGTACATCTACAGATAATCACTCTAAATTTCTCCACATTTCGGTCTATGTAGACTTGACGTGGTCTACTAAGGACGGCGCCCCAGGTCCTCTATGTAGTTAGTTACACACTCAATCAGCCATACGCAACGCCAAACAGGGCGATTCCCAGAGTAACAAAGGTAGTAAGATTATGTGGTAATACAAAAGATTAAGTAACCAAGACGCAATTTGAGAAAATATAAATTGAAGTAATTGAAAATAATTTATGAGGAATTTAGAAAATTAGGATCTAAGAGAAGACAAAGAGTGGATGCAGTTGAGCAAACCATTTGAGGCAGGTCACCTAGTCTTTGACCATAAGTTAAGATATTCGCGAACCCAAATCTAGTCTGTACCTACCTACATGGTTTGATCGAACAGTGTCTTCATGGACTGATCCCATGTTTTCGTTTGGCCGCCCCAATATTTTCCAATCAACACCAGACAACATCGCTCGTCGAGAAAGACAGTGGTTGGGGATACATAACACATGTTCCCAACCACCTCAGTCAATGAAAATTTGTTAAATTATCAAAGATTTACCATCTTTACCTAGTACTTTATCCCTAATCCCGGCATTGCTTACTCGGTAATCCCAAAATACACGAACCATGCTTAGAAGACACCTATGGTCGAACTAGTGTCTTCACTAGATACTTATTGAAGTTTCAAGACCTTAACACGTAGTAGAAACTTCGACCGTTAGACTCATGAAAGTGATTCGACAGACGGTATGTTTGGTTTGGTACTGGTACTGTCACGACATAGGCCCATAAACGTCCGCCAAGACGATCGATCGTAAGAACGCTGTGTGATGGGAATCACAGCACAATGTAGGATGAGACCTCAAGCCAGGACTTAATTTGTCTCATTCCTAGCCCGCAAGACATAGAATGCCAATGATTCCATGACTAGGACTGTTGGATTCGGGGAAGCATATTGGCCAGTGTCCCCATTTTTGTTGACTGGTTTGGTCTGATAGTCTGTCTTCACCTCTTTTGGCGTGTTTGTTTGAGGAGATCGATATCTTATAGCATATAATCTACTGATTATTAGTAATATAAAATTGTTAGTGTCAAAATGACTAATACATAATGTTAACTTGGATAAGTTTGTAAATCAACTGATGTGAAACTATCAATCAAAATAAACATAGGTAATATATATGCACAAGAAATAATGACATTACACATCAGATAAGCTCGGAATTTATTTTTCTCATTACCTAATATCTTCGATGAAGCCCACCAACTTAGCAAGGGTCATAGAATAACATTGCAGTTACATTTTAGGTGAGACTATAATTTATGTACGACCTTTGAGAGACGCTAGACTGACCGTGAGAGTGTCCACCTAATAACCAGTACCAAATGAGAGTTATAAAAATGTGTGAGGAATTAGAATTATGATATACAGTTGATGATTAAGGTTAGGAACTGGATTTAGGATTTTCATCACGAACTAACATCAGCTATGCCTAAACTCTATTTAGCCAAATGAATTCCGAGCCGAAATCCGAGACCTATTATCTTATACGTGATTGGTTCGCCCATAAATTATAGTCTCGCCACATTTTCAAATATAATTTGGGATATTAATTCTCAGAAATCGGGTTTGGGCAAATGGAAATTGTTTTTCTGGATGAAATGGAAAATCAGTTTCAAGAAATGGTCTTTTAGCTTACTCTGTTTGAAGGCATGATATACATTTAACATAGTCAAATGGTCACCATCAATGTGAGCAAAACGCATTTTGGCTTCGTCTGCAGTTTTCTTGGAGTCGGCAGGGCGTACGAAGCATTGAGGTACTGAAATAAATAGGAACAGTTTCATATATTATAGACATTATCAGACGAGGAATCGGTCAAATTAGTGAAAAGATCTATCACATATTAGCTAAAAATAATGAAACAAAGAAACAATTGAACTTGCCTGATAACATTGAAGTGATACTCAGGATTTCATTTGAGCAGTTGTAATCGCAAGAGGCGATAACCATTTTGGCTAATTGGGGATCAAGTGGGAACTCAGCCATCATACTTCCTAGATCGGTTAGGTTACCATCATCATCAAGTGCTGCCAAATAATTCAATAACTCTAGAGCACGCATCAGAGTTTCCGGAGCTATTACATTCAACAAAAACTCATGATAAGAAAACTGGCATCGTAAAATTTTGGTGAAATGGTGATTAAATTAGTGAGAGAAAAAGCTGAGTCTTTCTGTTTCACAACTGTTATTCATACTGAAGCTTCTAAATACTAAATGAAAAGAGCAATTTCATTAGCGAACTCCTATAACGCGGATAAAACCGAAGATTTTGAAATGGTAAACCTTAGTACTGCGAAATCTACCATCTAGGTATCGTAAAATATGCAGAATTTAAGACTACGTATATTACAATACTAGACTGAGAAGTGTTACTAAAAATAGATTATAGAAACGAATATTTGCAGAAATCAGAGTCCGAAGGTTCATTTAGGGTAGTGTTAATAAGTGACATTTTAAATGGTCGAATGATGTACAAGTCACAACTTTTATCCCCACTTTAATTACACTCGCAATCCTTCACTAATTACTAAAATTGATTCATTTTACCGAAATTTTGAGACAAAACATTTCCCAAAAATATTTACCGACTATATTTCTATTTGACTTAAGAAACTTCAAAAATGAAATTCATACGGATTCATTAAGGTGTAATTCAAACGCCAATATGAATGACTGTCCTGAGCAGCTAATACATAAAAAACATACCAGTGCATGCTAATTTCCCACTAATATGAACCCAAACAGAAATGAAAAATGGCACATCATTCCATTACATTGACATCGGGTATGTGTCAGACTCGGTCAGCCAATCATCTACAACGTATGACCAAGTACATCCCGACCGTAGCTGCTACCTTGACGCGGTGGTCGGGGTTGCATATCTTGATGACCCAATCGAGCTACATTGGCTAGAACATATGTTCTTGTAGGCTCTACTATGCCAGGCAGGTCGATTGGTGAACGGTAAGACTAAAAACAGCAACTCAAGGTCTGAGGGCGAAGTCGTACTGCTGACTGTAGAGAGGTGTGACGGCAGTAAGGTGTTTCCCTCGGACAACCAGCATGACAGCGATGCTGCCTTCCCACAAGGAGGGGTGAGGATAGAAAAGGTTGACCCTAAAAATGTCACACCTCACCTTACCTCACGGATCTCCGTCTCCGGCGGTAAGGCCCCTTGAAGAACGGAGCTAACACATTAAAAAGCTCCCATAAAAAGACCGTGCATGACCAGCCTCAATCGGTTGTCCCTCGAGGTCTGCAGTCACGCTCTAAACTCGTTAAGACCAACATTAATCCAAATTCCTTTTCAGGTTGCTCAAAAAATACCCTTCCACGGTGTGGGCAGTCGGGAAGTGATATCACCCCTCATACCCTTAACAGCACACGAGGCCAAGTCGGTCACATTCAAATCCCTCCTACACCTCTAAATAAATCTCTTATCTCCACGACTAACTCTTCTCACGTCCCTTTATCACCTCGCACCGCTAGGGTAAACTATTCGAGTACGCGGAACGTTATTCCTGATCTCCTGAAACCACGCTCTAAACTACACGTAGGAGCTTTCAACGTCCGAACACTGCCAAATAGGACAACAGGCTTCCTCAGCTGGGACTTTAGAATCTCGCGCCATTGGTGTGTGCTGCGTCTCCGAAACGCGCATACAGGAGCCGAGTAGTGTCATTCATTTGACCTCACCATGTCAAAGTAACGAACCAACTCGATTTACGCTTCGTGTATCTGGAAGTCCTGATGCGGTTTCCCGTGGCCTAGCTGGTGTAAGAATGTCATTGAGTCGTAGGGCAGAACTAGCTATCTTAGACTGGATCCCTGTAGACAGTCGTCTGTGCGCTGTCCGACTAAACGGAACATTAAGGACTCGAAAAGATAATGACACTCGTCGTTGCCTCTTCGTCGTCTCTGCCTATTCTCCCACTGACTGCAGCTCAGATGATGTAAATGATGAGTTTTACAGAAAGCTTTCCGGCCTTCTCAGAAAAGCTAGGCGCTCTGATGTAGTAATAGTGGCTGGTGACTTCAATGCTCAAGTAGGTAAACTAAGCGATAGGGAAAGACACCTAGGTGGATCTTATGGTGTCGTGGCTCAAAGAACAGATAATGGCGACCGTCTGTTACAACTATGCTCAGGTAACCGTCTGTTCCTTGTAAATACTAACTTTAAGCATAAGGAAAAACATCTTTTAACATGGCGACCCCCTAATTCGTCCCAACGTTGGAGGGGCGCGATAGAAGACTGTCGCTCATTCTAGAGCACATGCTTAAATTCAGATCATGCTCTAGTGCGAGCGCGTATTTGCCTGGGTCTTACTGGACGTAAGAAAGACGCTGCAAGGAAACCTCTTAGAGGCCTACTTAATGATAGTCAAGCTAAGAGTATATTTCAGGAACAACTAGGCAAACAGTTAGACAGCCATGTATGTGATGCCCACCCCGAGGCAGCATGGAATGATATCCGAAAAGCTGTGGAAACAGCAGTGATATCTGCTAGCAAGGTAAACCAGAAGGTTAGGGAGCAACACTGGATCTCAGCAGCATCTATCGCACTGATAGATGCTCGGAAACTCATTCCACCTGGCTCTGAACATAATGAAGAGCGGAGTCAGCTTAAGCGCAAGCTGACAAGAAGTTTACGCAATGATCGCGAACAGTGGTGGGTAGCGAAAGCAAGAGAGATGGAAAAGGCAGCGGCAATGGGTAATAGCAGACAATTGTTCAGACTCGTTAAGGAAACCTGTATTAGGAACCCGACCGTTAGCGAAACAATCTCAGAGAAAGATGGACATATTATTCATTCTCAATCCAGGAGATTGGATCGATGGGCAGAACACTTTAGGGGTCAGTTCAACTGGCCTTCATCCACACTTCGGTTTCCCACGATCTCCAGTCAAATTAATGTAGGTCCTCCGACTCTTTACGAAGTTGAAAAAGCCATAAAAAATCTGAAGCGAGGGAGAGCAGCAGGCCCTGACAGGTTTACTCCTGAGATTTTTAAGGATGGTGGCCCAGTATTAGTAGTGAAATTAACTGAGGTCTTAGGTAGAACTTGGGAACTGGACGTAATCCCATATGACTGGTCTCAATCACTGATTGTGCCAGTCTTTAAGAAAGGACAAAAGTCCTCTTGTGACAATCACAGAGGAGTCAGTTTGACTAATATAGTATCTAAAATATTAGCCTCAATAATACTTCGACGCCTAATCAAAGCTCGTGAAGAGCAGACTAGAGACAACCAGGCTGGTTTTCGACCTGGACGTGGTTGTATAGATCAGATATTCACACTACGTCAGGTTCTAGAACACAGACACACATTCAGATGCCCCACAATGGTAGTATTTCTCGATCTTAAGGCAGCATTCGACTCTGTTGATCGTGAGGTTCTATGGCAGTGTTTGTCACTGTTGTGGATGCGGAGGAATAGACCAATAATTATCATGTTAAGTCCAATGGTGTCCTTGGACTTTAAATGGAATTTCCTATTGGTCGATATCTGTTCACTTGTACAAAATGTTGTTTTCTATTTTTATGGTACGCTGTGGTATGCTTGATTGGTATATAAACAAAGTGTGTTTGAAATATAATGATTCATATCTCCGAGGCGGTGGCTTGGGTTCTGGACTCAACTAACTGGGCTAGACAGGGAAGTGAGACCAATCAGAACTCTAGGTCGTTCGTTCGTGTTTGCGTGTCACTGTCACCGAATCGATCAATAAACGCTGCTTATCAAAACCTGCAGTCACACCCGTCATAACAATTGGCGACGGGTGGAGAAACGCTTTGAACCCTCAACTTCAAGGTCATAACAATTGGCGACGGGGTGGAGAAAAATTTTGAACCTTGTAATTTGACGAGATTCAGGCTAATTGTTTCGACCAATCAGCATCCAGATTGTCACTAGCGTCCTTGTACAACATTGGTCATTATTCCTACAGTTAATTTTCATTGCAGGTGCTGAAAAAAAATGACTACCTGTTCCGATCAATTACAGCTTCTACTTGAGCAACAACAGCAGTGTTTCAAAAATAGCCAGTTGAATTTTTTAGAAAATTTACGCACACTGTTGGTAAATTCTCCATGTTTCGGAAATGCAACAGAAGTTGGTAAGTTCATTTCTCATCTGCAGACTGAGCTGGAAAACAACTGCAGAACATATGAAGCTGTTTATAAAAGCCTCTGTGAATCCCGGACGACCAGTGATGTAAACGAGACAGTTATTCATGATCCGCCCAGTTGTCCAGAAATGTCAAATTCTGAAACATTCCCTGTCGTGGGTTCAAATCCCACTGTTCCTGAAACGTGTGCAGACAATGATGTACCCAGCTCACAGGAAGATCTCCCAGTAAATGCTCAAAAATTAATTGCAGTACCCGCCCACAACGGGACAGGGAACAAATCGTGCAGTACACTGAATCCAGCTGTTTCAAATGGTCCTCATCATTCAACAACAGGAGATTCTGAAGAATCTTATTATCTAGTTCCTCTTGTACCAGAAAATGTGTTAGATGCATCAAATGATGATCAGAAATCTAATGCAATTTTGATAGATGTTGATTGTCTCAGTGATCAACTGTTTACAAATGAGATTTTCAACAAATCCCATGATAATGTTCCAGAAGAATCAAACGTTGATGACCTCATATCAAGCGACATTGATCCCCACTATTTAATCACTTTCAGTGACCTCTGTTAAATCTGACAATTATGTGTTAAATGAAGTCAAATTAATTTTAACTTTAAAATATGGCGACCCAACATTATTTCGTCGGGGGGGGGATGAACCCAGAAAATTTCAAAATCCGGATATCAACTCCGGATCTTCAAAAAAAAGGGGAGGTGTTGTGGATGCGGAGGAATAGACCAATAATTATCATGTTAAGTCCAATGGTGTCCTTGGACTTTAAATGGAATTTCCTATTGGTCGATATCTGTTCACTTGTACAAAATGTTGTTTTCTATTTTTATGGTACGCTGTGGTATGCTTGATTGGTATATAAACAAAGTGTGTTTGAAATATAATGATTCATATCTCCGAGGCGGTGGCTTGGGTTCTGGACTCAACTAACTGGGCTAGACAGGGAAGTGAGACCAATCAGAACTCTAGGTCGTTCGTTCGTGTTTGCGTGTCACTGTCACCGAGTCGATCAATAAACGCTGCTTATCAAAACCTGCAGTCACATCCGTCATAACAGTCAGTGAAAGGAGTACCAAAGAAGTACATTAACCTTATAAAGGCTCTCTACTCGAACACAACTGGTAGAGTGAGAGCTTATGGCGAACTGTCATCAGAATTGATTACCTCAAGTGGTGTTCGTCAGGGCTGTCCACTCTCCCCATTCTTGTTTAACTTTGTCATTGACGTACTTTTAGAGATAACACTCTCCTCATCTAAATTTCCAGGGGTTGAACTACCGGGAGGTTCACTTGTTGACTTACAATATGCTGATGACTTAGTTTTATTTGGTGAAGACGCTGACAAAATGCAGAGTCTTCTGACCACTCTAAGCAACAATGCAAGCATGTTCGGGATGCGATTCTCTCCCTCGAAATGCAAAATATTGCTTCAGGATTGGGTTACATCGACACCCGAACTAGTGATAGGGAGTGAAGTAGTTGAGTGTGTCGATCACTTCACTTATCTTGGAAGTCTCATCAGCCCTTGTGGTTTGGTGTGTGACGAAATCTCAGCACTCATACAGAAGGCTCGACTAGCTTGCTTTCGCCAACTTGCGTCATTTATGGCGTAGGCGAGATATCCGTCTATCAACCAAAGGTCGTGTTTACTGCGCAGCACTTCGTTCCATCCTACTTTATGGCAGTGAAACATGGCCGGTAAGAGTAGAGGATACTCGTAAGTTACTGGTATTCGATCATAGGTGTCTTCGAAACATTGCTCGTATATCATGGGACCATCGAGTAAGTAACACAGTTGTTAGGAAACGGGTACTAGGTAAGGATGGCAAATCAATTGATGAAGTAGTGAAACTTCATCAGTTGAGATGGCTGGGACACGTGTTACGTATGCCCAACGACCGACTACCTCGACGTGCTATGTTCAGTGGTATAGGAGTAGGTTGGAAGAAAGCTAGGGGCGGCCAAACCAAAACATGGCACAAGTCCATGAAGTCACTGACAAGTGGACTGAGTCATGTTGGTAGGTGTAGACTACCTGGTTGGGGACCGCGAGATGATAGCAACCGATGGTTAGAGACCCTGAATGACATGGCTCAAAATCGTTTGCAATGGCGCAGGTGCATCCACTCTCTGTGTTCTCCCAAATTCTAATCTTCTGAATTCTTCATATCGCTTTCTGTTTTTTCTCTTTCCAAATTCATTTCACTGTATTATACTCCTTGAATAACATCTTCAAGCCCTAATGTTTCTGATTACTGCTTATACTCTTACTACCTCTACCACTACGGGATTGGAATCGACAGCTGTATCTCTGTGCTAATGTGGTGCGGCAACTCGAACTGATGTACGTACGTACGAAGTTCTACGTTGTTACTGACTGACTGACCAAGTACATATATGCATCAGTCCAAGTTGCCATACCTCATTAGCACAAGATGAACATCAAATTCATTGAAGTAGTTACTTCAATGGTAGTAATATATAAAAGGTTGCGTATAAGCATATAATAGACGAAGAAAGAATTAGTTCGTAGAAATAAAGGTAAAGAGCAATTTTATTCTCATAGTTTAAGGGAAGACAAAGTGTGAATACACCTACACCAGTGTGATCGATTCTGAGCTATGTCCCCCAGAGTCTCCAACCATTGGTTACAAGAGTCGTGCGGACCCCGACCAGGTAGTCTGCATCTAAAACATAGTTAAGAGTAGAAGTTGGTAACTTAAAGCACTGATGCCACGTTTTGGTTTGGCCGCCCCTAACTGTTGGGATATTCAGAAAAATATCTCAAAAATTATCCTGTTAATTCCAATGCTATCCTTGGACTTGAAATTACATCATTTTCCTATAGGTCAATTTTTATTTCACGTGTCGTCTCCTTACTAATCAATATTTATTTCACGTGTCATTTTCCTGCTGGCCAAATATTGTACAAATGTACAAATCAGAACTCTAGGCTGCTCATACGCGTCATTGTTCCGATCGATAAGTCACTGCTCTCTAATCGGCGGTCACAAGTTGTAACGCTAACTTTCTTCCAACCGTCGCCAACACGAGTTAGCATTATGGTAATCGGTTTTTAGTCATACGTAACACGTGACACAACCATCTCAGTCGATGAAGATTTACAACCTCATGAACTGATTTACCATCATCCCCTAATACTATGCGTCAAACTCCATTATTACTTACCCGGTGATCCCAGCAGATGCGAGAAATATTTGTAAGATATCTTTGATCAAATACTAGTAACTTACGAGTATCCTATATGCGTTCGACCACTTAACTCTCTATACTTAGTTCAGGTGTTGACGCAGACCAGTCCTGAAGCAACAACTTGCATTTAGAGGGAGAGAAGCGCATTCCAAGCATCCTGGCATTGTTGCTCGGTGCTACCGAAACATTACATTTTATCAGCATCTTCACCAAACAGGACTATGTTATCTGCGTATTCTAAGTTGACAGGTAGACCTCCTGGAAGGAGATCAATTCCCGAAAATTCAGTCGACGAGAACGTTATTTCCAATAGTACGTCTATGATGAAATTAAACAGAAATGGAGAAAGTGGACAGCCTTGACGGACACCACTTGACGTTGTAAAAGCAGATGACAGTTCGCCATAAGCTCTGACTCTACTGGTAGTGTTCGAGTAAAGAGCCTTCACAAGGTTTAGGTACTTCTCAGATACGCCCTTCAATGACAGACACTGCCACAGAACCTCTCGGTCTACAGAGTACAATACTGCTTTTAGGTCAATAAAAACTATCATAGTCGGGTGGCGATAAACACTTCTGTGTTCTAGAACCTGACGAATGATGAATATGTAGTCGATGCCGCCACGACCATGTCTGAAACCAACCTGATTTTCTCGTGTTTGAAGTTCAAGAGCCCTTATTAAGAGTCCGACAATTATTGAGGCCAGTATTTTAAATACTATATTAGTCAAATTAATCCCTCTATAGTTATCACAGGATGATTTTGATCCTTTCTTATATATTGGGACGGTCAGTGATTGCAATCAGGCGGACGTGATTACATCTAACTCCCAGATTGTTGCTAAAATATTAGCTAACCTAAGCGCAAAATATAGACCGTCATCAGACTGTTGGATAATTCATCAATGTGACTTGGAAACAATTACTTTAAAAGTTTGGTATGGACTTAGAAAAGATTAACTAAGCATGGGAATTGTAAGCACGTAGTAATAAAGAAAAATAATTAGTTTAGTGTATAACGTGAAAAGTTTTATCTTTTTAGTATCGAATGTTGGGACGGTATTAATATAAAAATGGCATAAAGATTGGTAAATTGAGCCCACACAATCAAAGAATTGTTCCTACAAGAAACGGCACAAATATTAGGCAAATAGAAACAAGTTAGATAAATTCAAAAGCATTAGCAGTTCCAAAACATGAATTCACACTTAATACCCACCGGGAGGATCCATAAAGTCAAAATGCACCAAATCATCAATTCCCAGTTTTTTCAACTGGAGGACAACAGTACCCAGGTTTGACCGGAGAATTTCTGGATATGTGTTCTCTTGCATCTCATTTGTATATGCCTTTTCTGTATACAATCTAAAACATTTTCCAGGTCTTGTACGCCCGGCCCTCCCAGCACGTTGTTGTGCAGAAGCTTTGCTGATAGCAGTGACTAAGAGAGATTCAACACGAATACGAGGATTGTAGACTTTCTGCTTTGCGAAACCTGGGTCAATAACAAAAACCACTCCATCAATTGTGAGGGATGTCTCTGCAATATTTGTGGACACTACAACCTATGAGGAAGATCAACAAGGTGAATATATTAGAAACACTGGAAAGTAGTACTAGTATATCCATGTTATATCAGATAGGTTAACTATGATAAACCTATTTTTTGGATGAAAAACTATCTACAGTCGTCTCTTACGTCGATTCAGAAATTTTAATCATTTACACTACAGAACAATATAATTGATAAGCCCAAGGAACGAATGTATTACACTTCTGATTATTAAAAATAAACCACCTATATAACACATTCTCTTATAACACCCAGTGTCGAATCCTCAAAATATAAAACCTTAAGTTCAGTGTATAGATACCGACTCAGAAACCTTTTTTTATAAGCAATAGATATTATAAGAGGGGATTTTGTTTGAAGTGTAAAATATCTGGTTCTGTTAAGTGAAAAATCAAAACAAATTTAAGACAACAGTAAACATCATCAATAAATACATTTTCTCCGTAGTATATTAGGTATGTTGTATCTTTATACCACCTATGAGTGCAGAAACACACATTTCTAAGGAATCCAATACTGTGAAATGGCACATCGTAACAATAATTTTGGTGATAATATTAGGATATGTCAGTCGCCCAAATAAGCTAATTGGATATATGTGACTGAATGGCATAAAGCTTTACTTTACCTACAACAATTTCGGTTCACTTTCAAAATAATTTATTGTTTTTTGTAGCTATCTATTAACTGTAGTAACTAGGTGAAGTCAAACTTCATACGGCAAATTTTATCGTAGATTGTATTTTATGGAATACCATTCAGATTGTTCATAGCAATCAAAGTTGCACTTTGTATGGGGTGTATGCTAAAGTCAAAAGATAAAATATACCTAATATGTTAGTCACGTAACTGAGAATAAGTTATTCTTAGGTACACAAATCACAATAATAAGGTTAAAATGCAAAATGCACTCCACCAAAAATTGTTCTAACAGGATGGCTACTGTAAGTGGAATCATCTAAAAATAAAAGAAATATATTAAAATCCTATCTGCAGAGTAGTGAACTACCACCTCATTACAGCACTTATTACATTTAACTTGATCCAAGTCGTCACTAAACTTCGTTTCTAACATCCAACTTCGGGTTAACGGTTCCGACAGGATCATGTAAAACTCACTTTATCTACTTTGGTTAGGAAAAGCCTTAAACCAGAGTACACAGGTCTGTATTTAGTTCGCGAGTTACATTACTTTTTTTCAAAATAGAAGGAATAAAAGAAAAACAGAGTTAGCCTGTAATCAATACTGAAGTTTACCTAGTTTGATTCGTTTGGAGTACTATTTTTGAATTCTAATAATGACGTCTTCTAATAGTCTTTTTCACCAACCAATTGTGATTAAGTGTCACGATGGCTGATAAACACTTGGATAAGCTTCACTTGAATCGCTAGTCGCTTGATATTAGTACCTACACCAGCTAGGCCACGGGAAGCAGCATCAGGACTTCCAGATACACGAAGCGTAAATCGAGTTGGTTCGTTACTTTGACATGGTGAGGTCAAATGAATGACACTACTCGGCTCCTGTATGCGCGTTTCGGAGACGCAGCACACACCAATGGCGCGAGATTCTAAAGTCCCAGCTGAGGAAGCCTGTTGTCCTATTTGGCAGTGTTCGGACGTTGAAAGCTCCTACGTGTAGTTTAGAGCGTGGTTTCAGGAGATCAGGAATAACGTTCCGCGTACTCGAATAGTTTACCCTAGCGGTGCGAGGTGATAAAGGGACGTGAGAAGAGTTAGTCGTGGAGATAAGAGATTTATTTAGAGGTGTAGGAGGGATTTGAATGTGACCGACTTGGCCTCGTGTGCTGTTAAGGGTATGAGGGGTGATATCACTTCCCGACTGCCCACACCGTGGAAGGGTAATTAGTACGAATTAGGATCAACCATCAATGCAAACGCATATTTGAGGCTTCGAATCAGATAAACTCATAAAATCTAAGCAAGGTTTAGTTAACACATTTGGCTTTCGTTAAGTAGATCTGTGACTTGAAACTTGTTGGATGAATTTTTGGTTGGGTAGTCGGATAACATTAATAGCCGCCTCACAACTGTTTTAATTTACGTAACAAGTATCAGTTATTTCTATTTCAAAAAAAGTTTAGAGTACTTACTTTACACTTCAAGCAACATTCTTAAACAAATAAAATACTTTTAGAAGTGTTGTTATTTTCTGCTACCTTTTCACCTGATCAATTTACGTTTGCTATCCTTACAATTTTTAAATTTTTTTGAGTACTATGTATTAATTTGGAATGTATGACAAAGCTCATGTTAAGAGAACAGAAACTCGGTAATCTTTGACATGACAGAATCATTTTAGTACGGAATTTAGCAGTCAAAAATACGAAGACAATAACGACGGGAGTACAAAAATTTGAAAGTTAATTATTTTTCTGACCTAATTTGTGAAAAGAATGCAGGAAACAATGAACTGCATGCGTGGCTTACGAGATAGATACTCAAGAAAATGCCATTCACGGTAACGGTTAAACAAAGATTATTCAGGTGTGCAATCTCGATAGACCAAACCATATAATGAAACAAAACAAAACCGAATTGTATTTCGAAAACAGTTCTAACCTTTCGACCAACAGCCCCATTTGCACGTTTTGGAGGAGGAGATTCAAAAATTCTTTGTTGAAGATTTGGTGGAAGGGTAGAGTAGAGAGGAATGCAACGGAGTTCACCAACGTCCGGGCCCAACCCATCTACTTCTCTCTGGATACGTTTGCATGCTTCCTCAATCTCCTCTTGTCCCGTCAGAAACAGTAATATGTCACCCTCGATCTCTTCGCACATATGAATCTGGATTACAGTACGGATAGCCGCTTCGAGATAATCACGTTCTGGTTCTGGAGTATAAAATATCTCCACTGGATGAGTTCTACCGGGCACGGTCATAAGAGGTGCTTTGTGAAAGTAATCCTGGGTCATTTCGAAAAGGGAAGAAGTAGATGGCTTCATCCAACTCCAAATAAAATGTGATACAACTAGGATACATTTAACTAAACAAATACTTTTAAGATCTATTCATCAAACGGATAAGAACTATGTACTAACTTGGAATTTTCCAGCGTCCAAAGTCGCACTCATGACAACTATTTTTAAATCTAATCTTTGCTTTGTAATTTCTTTAAGTAGACCCATTAAAATATCAGTAGCCAAAGTTCTTTCATGGGCTTCATCCAAGAGAATAACACCGTATGCCTCGAGCAAAGGATCAGACATGCCTTCACGTAAAAGCATACCATCAGTCATGTATCTAAAGCAATTATGGAAAAGTTTAAAAGTTACTTCATCACAGTCCTTGAGGACGTGCAATCCTCGAATCGAATACTGTATCCTACTTCTTGACCAAGTTCAACATCCATTTCCTCGGAAACACGCTGAGCAACAGACATAGCTGCTACCCTTCTAGGTTGAGTGCAGGCCACTGCCTTTTTGGTAGGATACCGTCCAGTTACCCATTCCAGGCACCACTGAGGAATTTGAGTCGTTTTTCCAGAACCTGTTTCACCAACTAAAACAGTGACTTGGTTCTCCGATAATGTCTGAAAAAAATTCTCTTTGTATTCCCAAACAGGTAATTTGATACGCTTCCTCAGAAGTTCGAAGTATTTGGCACTAAATGATTTGCCTGAAACAAGGTACAGATTAGAACAATTCGATGGACAGTATTTAGTATTTTTCGCCATTAGTACACAATTCATACTGGTCAACTGTATACATAAACTGAATCATAACATCAAAAACAACATGAATAAATAAGATATAATTCAAATCAATATAAACATTTCCGTTAATCCATTTTTTCCTGAGTACCCGTAACGATGTCAGGAGTAAATGACAGTTAGGACCTTAGCTTCTAAGTACAAATTTGCCTTTAGGGGTGTAACATTAGTGATCTTGTGGAAACATGTATTTCTAAACGCTGTGAACTCGAAATGCACAATTGGCATAACTTGCAAGCATAAAGTATTTCTCTGAATTCTTATCCGCTAAAGAAACAGACTTAAAATTATTTCTAACATTTTCAATGTAACCATCATATTCGAAACACTAAGTCCCAATAAGAGAAAGATAACCTACAAAAGCCAGTCTTATAACTGCAGATCAAATGTAATTTATAATGGAAGTGCCTGGTTATAAGTAGGAACAAGTTAGAAAAAACGAACTATTAGTGCCCCTTTATCCATTATTAGAAGGGATTTACAATCTGACTAATTAACATAAGACGACAGTCTAAGATCAACAAACAGACTGAGATAAACGCAATTCCATTTGACTGATTTTGATCGCTTATCGTCCCAATTTATAAGAAACCACAAGAAATCCTGAGTCAGGTTCAAATTTTATTCCAAAAAGAGTATGCTATAAAGCCCACAACACAAATCGCTTATCGATTATATACCTCAAATATTTTGTTTGTAAGCATGTTATTTTACTCGAAAACTTCTGTTGAGTTGTACTGTATTTTGATAACAATTCATTTGACGATCTACGTCGACGATTTAGTCTTGCGACTTGTAATCGACCTGCCACATCGTATTATCGCCAACCAACCATTGAACAGTTTCTTATCTAGTTTAACGACTGCCCCGGGACAACCGAGAGTAAGGAGAGCCAGCTCTCCCTCTCGAAATGCTCTCATATAGCCACGTGCATACAACCACTGCCAGGGAAGTCCTACTCACTGCCTTCTCGTGGCGGGGGTGCTGTTTACGAAATCGAGAGGAAAAGCGAATGTCCGGCGCTTTAACTGGGTTGGCGGATATGGAGGATCTACCTAGGGGAGTTGAAAAACCCTGATTCCAAACCAATGGTGCACATGGGCCCCAGTATCCTGCGGGAACAAATGGCGTATGAACCTACTGTTGGTCACCGGCCACCACGGGACTGCATCTCCTTACGTTGCTCCACTGCCCTGTAGATTAGACCTTTAGGTCGAAGGATCGAGGAGTGGCCCCCTAAGAAAACCACCTGCTTCGGTGTAGGCACCCGGGCAGTATCACAGCCCTCACACATATCGAATGAGATTTGTGTGGCGCATATGTATTCAGTGCCTCCTTGTACCAATGTTTATGTTTAAATAAATAAATGACTGAGAAATGTGCACCATCATTCATTAAAACTTAGAACAGTAGTTTCCTAACATCTCACTATGGATCTCTATAAAATACTCATTGAGTGCAGTAGAGCTGTGGAGTGACGTTGGCAGTGAAATACTAGGTAGATGTGGTAGACCACTAGAATGTTTTGACCTTTATCTGAAGTAGCTGGATGTTGAGCACGCCCATTCACTGGCTACCGTGACATGCAGTGGAAGCTTATTATTATTTATTTATTTTAACACATAGATATTGGTACAAGGAGGCACCAAAGACATATGCTCCACACAAATCTCATTTGATATGTGTGAGGGCTGTGATACTGCCCAGGTGCCCAAACCGAAGGAGGTGGTTTTTAGGGAGGCACCAAGGGGCCACACTCGAAGCCTTCAACCTGAAGGTCTGATCCACAAGGCAGTGGAGCAACACCAGGAAATACAGTCCCATGGTAGTCGGTGACCAACGATTGGTTCATACGCCATTTGTTCCTGCAGGATACTGGGGCCCATGTGCACCATTGGTTTGGAATCAGGGTTTTCCAACTCCCCTAGGTAGATCCTCCATGTCCACCAACCCAGTTAAAGCGCCGGACATTCGCTTTTCCTCTCGATTTCGTAAACAGCACCCCCGCCACGAGAAGGCAGTGAGTAGGACTTCCCTGGCAGTGGCTGTATGCACGTGGCCATATGAGAGCATTTCGAGAGGGAGAGCTGGCTCTCCTTACTCTTGGCCGTACCAGGGTATTTGGGGGCACAGTGAAGGCTAGGATAGAACCAGGCTTGAAAAGCTAGGGCCAGTAAAGCAAAGTCACCGACTTTCAGTCGGACATATTTCGAAGATTGAAGACTTCTTATATGAGACTTGCACGACAATCGTCATATATAATTGAAGGCATTTCAGTAAAATTTAATAAAAGGGGAACTGATCAAGTTAAAGAGTCAACCTAATATAACCAGGAAGTGAGTGGTCTTCATGAACTACATTTCCAAGCTTGGTGTCATCACCAGATTTCCACAAAGTACAAGCACTATTGAATTAACAAAAATGACCACTAATCACAATATCAGATCAACGCTGTCAACTATCGTATTAACATATTTCAAAAAAAGACGAAACTGACCGTTGTAAGGATTCGTTTGTGCTGTGAATGGAGACTTATTTGAAGCATTCTGTTTAAGTTTGACGTGATTATCTGGGGAGCGTGAGCGATCACGTGCATGATTATCCGGTCCATCAGAAAACCTGTGACAATAATACAGTAATAATGCGAAATAAGATGAGAATATGTCGATGAGACAGGTACTAACAAAAAGCGAAACACGTAAACTTGATACCTCCGCTACATTGCTTGTGCAAACTGTTTACTGAATTCAAAAAAGATACAGAAGCCTATTCGTCTTCAATACAAGGATGCGAGAAATTTATAGTGAATACATTTGCTGAAAAACTACAAAAGGGCTAAGTAGTCATTGTAAACGATTATTACTAACATAATGAACGAAAACCCCAACCACAAATAAGATCTTATTGGTGTAGTGTTGAGCGCATTAAAAACGGAGAAACTAAATCACATTCTTTACAAAAAGCTACCAAATATGAATATTTGACACCAAGTTACAATTATGAACTGGGTTATAAAATTACTTAACTAAGTACGACAGGGGAAACTTGTTTACTTTCTGATCTAATAAAAAGTGCACTTGAATAAAGGCTTTGCTTGCTGCAAAGGACAAAGATTTACCAGACTGCTTGAAGCGTAGATGGTGCTGTGTAGTTTAAGTACATAAAAAAACAACCCGATCGAAGCTGCTACCTTGACGCGGTGGTCGGGCTTGCCTATCGTGATGACCCAACCGAGCTATATTGGCTGGAACATATGTTCCTGCAGGTTCTACCATGCCAGGCAGGTCGATTGATGAACGGTAAGACTAAAAGCAGCAACTCAAGGTCTGAGGGCGAAGTCGTACTGCTGACTGTAGAGAGGTGTGACAGCAGTAAGGTGTTTCCCTCGGACAACCAGCATGACAGCGATGCTGCCTTCCCACAAGGAGGGGTGGGGTTAGAAAAGGTTGACCCTAAAAATGTCACACCTCACCTTACCTCACGGATTTCCGTCTCCGGCGGTAAGGCCCCTTGAAGAACGGAGCTAACACGTCAAAAACCTTCCACAAAAAGGCCGTGCGCGACCGGCCTCAAGCAGTTGTCCCTTGGGCTCTGCGGTCACGCTCCCAGGTCGTCAAGACCAACACTAATCCAATTTCCTTTTCAGGTTCCTCAAGAAATACCCTTCCACGGTGTGGGCAGCCGGGAAGTGACATCAGCCCTCATACCCGTAACAGCACAAGAGACCAAGGTGGTCACATTCAAATCCTTCCTACACCTCCTAATACCTCTCTTATCTCCCCGACTAACCCTCCTCACGTCTCTTTATCACCTCGCGCCGCTAGAGCAAACGATTCGAGTACGTGGAACGCAATTCCTGGTCTCCTGAAACCACGCTCTAAACTACACGTAGGAGCTTTTAACGTACGAACACTTTGCCAAATAGGGCAGCAGGCTTCCTTAGCTAAAACTTTAGAATCTCGCGCCATCGATGTGTGCTGCGTCTCGGAAACGCGCATACAGGATCCGAGTAGCGTCATTCATTTGACCTCACCATGCCAAAATAAAGAACCGACTCGATTTACGCTTCGTGTATCTGGAAGCCCTGATTCTGCTTCCCGTGGCCTCGCCGGCGTAGGTATAGCATTGAGTCCTAGGGCAGAACTAGCTCTCTTAGAGTGGATCCCAGTAGACAGTCGTTTGTGCGCTGTCCGACTGAACGGAACAGTAAGAATTCGGAAAGATAATGACACT